AAAATTCAAATTTATAAAACTATGTGGGGTACATTTTGTTTTAAAGGGGTGTTATAGGTCGAAGCATTCAGTTTTGTGCACTTTTAGAGTGGAAAATGGAGACTCCTCGATAGGGCCTTAATTGACAGCTAATTAGTGGACCGAATTGGCCCCCTCCAAAATTTGATCTTCCCAGTAGATGGATGAAATGGATTATGCAATAAAAATCAAATTTATAAAACTATGTGGGGTACATTTTGTTTTAAAGGGGTGTTATAGGTCAGCAGCATTCAGTTTTGTGCACTTTTAGAGTGGAAAATGGAGACTCCTCGATAGGGCCTTAATTAACAGCTAATTAGTGGACCGAATTGGCCCCCTCCAAAATTTGATCTTCCCATTAGATGGATGAAATGGATTATGCAATAAAAATTCAAATTTATAAAACTATGTGGGGTACATTTTGTTTTAAAGGGGTGTTATAGGTCAAAGCATTCAGTTTTGTGCACTTTTAGAGTGGAAAATGGAGACTCCTCATTAGGGCCTTAATCGACAGCTAATTAGTGGACCGAATTGGCCCCCTCCAAAATTTGATCTTCCCAGTAGATGGATCAAATGGATTATGCAATACAAATTCAAATTTATAAAACTATGTGGGGTACATTTTGTTTTAAAGGGGTGTTATAGGTCAGCAGCATTCAGTTTTGTGCACTTTTAGAGTGGAAAATGGAGACTCCTCATTAGGGCCTTAATTGACAGCTAATTAGTGGACCGAATTGGCCCCCTCCAAAATTTGATCTTCCCAATAGATGGATGAAATGGATTATGCAATAAAAATTCAAATTTATAAAACTATGTGGGGTACATTTTGTTTTAAAGGGGTGTTATAGGTCAGCAGCATTCCCTTTTGTGCACTTTTAGAGTGGAAAATGGAGACTCCTCGATAGGGCCTTAATTAACAGCTAATTAGTGGACCGAATTGGCCCCCTCCAAAATTTGATCTTCCCAATAGATGGATGAAATGGATTATGCAATAAAAATTCAAATTTATAAAACTATGTGGGGTACATTTTGTTTTAAAAGGGTGTTATAGGTCAGCAGCATTCCCTTTTGTGCACTTTTAGAGTGGAAAATTGAGACTCCTCGATAGGGCCTTAATTAACAGCTAATTAGTGGACCGAATTGGCCCCCTCCAAAATTTGATCTTCCCAATAGATGGATGAAATGGATTATGCAATAAAATTTCAAATTTATAAAACTATGTGGGGTACATTTTGTTTTAAAGGGGTGTTATAGGTCAGCAGCATTCCCTTTTGTGCACTTTTAGAGTGGAAAATTGAGACTCCTCGATAGGGCCTTAATTAACAGCTAATTAGTGGACCGAATTGGCCCCCTCCAAAATTTGATCTTCCCAATAGATGGATCAAATGGATTATGCAATAAAAATTCAAATTTATAAAACTATGTGGGGTACATTTTGTTTTAAAGGGGTGTTATAGGTCAGCAGCATTGCCTTTTGTGCACTTTTAGAGTGGAAAATTGAGACTCCTCGATAGGACCTTAATTGACAGCTAATTAGTAGACCGAATTGGCCCCCTCCAAAATTTGATCTTTCCAGTAGATGGATGAAATGGATTATGCAATAATAATTCAAATTTATTAAACTATGTGGGGTACATTTTGTTTTAAAGGGGTGTTATAGGTCAGCAGCATTCCCTTTTGTGCACTTTTAGAGTGGAAAATGGAGACTCCTTATTAGGGCCTGAATTGACAGCTAATTAGTGGACCGAATTAGCCCCCTCCAAAATTTGATCTTCCCAGTAGATGGATGAAATAGATTATGCAATAAAAATTCAAATTTATAAAACTATGTGGGGTACATTTTGTTTTAAAGGGGTGTTATAGGTCAAAGCATTCAGTTTTGGGCACTTTTAGAGTGGAAAATGGAGACTCCTCATTAGGGCCTGAATTGACAGCTAATTAGTGGACCGAATTGGCCCCCTCCAAAATTTGATCTTCCCATTAGATGGATCAAATGGATTATGCAATACAAATTCAAATTTATAAAACTATGTGGGGTACATTTTGTTTTAAAGGGGTGTTATAGGTCAGCAGCATTCATTTTTGTGCACTTTTAGAGTGGGAAAATGGAGACTCCTCGATAGGGCCTAAATTAACAGCTAATTAGTGGACCGAATCGGCCCCCTCCAAAATTTGATCTTCCCAGTAGATGGATCAAATGGATTATGCAATAAAAATTCAAATTTATAAAACTATGTGGGGTACATTTTGTTTTAAAGGGGTGTTATAGGTCGAAGCATTCAGTTTTGTGCACTTTTAGAGTGGAAAATGGAGACTCCTCGATAGGGCCTTAATTGACAGCTAATTAGTGGACCGAATTGGCCCCCTCCAAAATTTGATCTTCCCAGTAGATGGATGAAATGGATTATGCAATAAAAAATCAAATTTATAAAACTATGTGGGGTACATTTTGTTTTAAAGGGGTGTTATAGGTCAGCAGCATTCAGTTTTGTGCACTTTTAGAGTGGAAAATGGAGACTCCTCGATAGGGCCTTAATTAACAGCTAATTAGTGGACCGAATTGGCCCCCTCCAAAATTTGATCTTCCCATTAGATGGATGAAATGGATTATGCAATAAAAATTCAAATTTATAAAACTATGTGGGGTACATTTTGTTTTAAAGGGGTGTTATAGGTCAAAGCATTCAGTTTTGTGCACTTTTAGAGTGGAAAATGGAGACTCCTCATTAGGGCCTTAATCGACAGCTAATTAGTGGACCGAATTGGCCCCCTCCAAAATTTGATCTTCCCAGTAGATGGATCAAATGGATTATGCAATACAAATTCAAATTTATAAAACTATGTGGGGTACATTTTGTTTTAAAGGGGTGTTATAGGTCAGCAGCATTCAGTTTTGTGCACTTTAAGAGTGGAAAATGGAGACTCCTCATTAGGGCCTTAATTGACAGCTAATTAGTTTACCGAATTGGCCCCCTCCAAAATTTGATCTTCCCAATAGATGGATGAAATGGATTATGCAATAAAAATTCAAATTTATAAAACTATGTGGGGTACATTTTGTTTTAAAGGGGTGTTATAGGTCAGCAGCATTCCCTTTTGTGCACTTTTAGAGTGGAAAATTGAGACTCCTCGATAGGGCCTTAATTAACAGCTAATTAGTGGACCGAATTGGCCCCCTCCAAAATTTGATCTTCCCAATAGATGGATGAAATGGATTATGCAATAAAAATTCAAATTTATAAAACTATGTGGGGTACATTTTGTTTTAAAGGGGTGTTATAGGTCAGCAGCATTCCCTTTTGTGCACTTTTAGAGTGGAAAATTGAGACTCCTCGATAGGGCCTTAATTAACAGCTAATTAGTGGACCGAATTGGCCCCCTCCAAAATTTGATCTTCCAAATAGATGGATGAAATGGATTATGCAATAAAAATTCAAATTTATAAAACTATGTGGGGTACATTTTGTTTTAAAGAGGTGTTATAGGTCAGCAGCATTCCCTTTTGTGCACTTTTAGAGTGGAAAATTGAGACTCCTCGATAGGGCCTTACTTAACAGCTAATTAGTGGACCGAATTGGCCCCCTCCAAAATTTGATCTTCCCAATAGATGGATCAAATGGATTATGCAATAAAAATTCAAATTTATAAAACTATGTAGGGTACATTTTGTTTTAAAGGGGTGTTATAGGTCAGCAGCATTCCCTTTTGTGCACTTTTAGAGTGGAAAATTGAGACTCCTCGATAGGGCCTTAATTAACAGCTAATTAGTGGACCGAATTGGCCCCCTCCAAAATATGACGTGCCCAATAGAAGGTTCGGTTAGATGAAAGCATAAAAAATAGTACATTTATTGTATAACTTTAACATTTCGTTGGGAAAGTCCAAGAAATCCTTTCATTACAAACAGAAAAGCAACCACCTTTTACTGTATGTGTTTGAGATTTTGATACCGCGGTTGAGAACGCGGCTAAGAACGCGGCTAAGAACGCGGCTAGCTTTTGGGCCTATAACGCGGCTAAGTTTAGTTTGGTCCCTCTAGTGCCAACAAGTGGTTCAAATAAAGTTGTGGGTGGGACCGCAAATACTAATGGCACGAGTGGGCGTGGCACAGCATTGGGGGAACAAGGTTCGGAAATATATCTTGATTAATATGGGGAGGGGGAAGGTTGATGTCAGACAGTGACGTCATTTGAGTAAGCCTTTTTATGCTCATATGAAATCTGTTTGAACAAGTTTCTGTGGCTAGTGTAGGCGAAACAGTGCCTATGGCCAGGGCCAGCGCACTTCTGTTCCCCCCCCCAGTTTCTTATGCCGTGTATGAGCGCTGGCGGCTCTACGGTGTTGCCGATATCTCTGACGATGATACGGCATAGTACTATATCTTAAAACTTGGTATGGAAACCATATGAACATTCTAATGTCATGAAATTACAGCCGAAAATGTCCAGAAAGTTAGCACAAACATGGGGGGGGGGGGGGTCCATTTGGCGCACTTGCCACAATCCCACCAATTCCCACACATTTCTATAAAGTTGGAGAAATATATAATTAAATCCGTTATCATTTCCATTCACATATCCCAAACTACCCGTTTTCCACTAATCCACGGTTGTCGGCGAATTTTGAAGGTGTTCACTGCCGACTTTCTTGGAAAATCCGTCGAATCAAATGAAGATTGTTTTCATTTAACTTTGTAACCAGCGATTGATGGTACTTGTCGGAATGAATTTTGGAGAAAATATTTTGCTCCGACATGCAACCCGAGGAGAAAAATCAAGGTGCGCCACGATGGGAGGGGGGGGGGGACTGAATAGACAGTGAAATCAAAATCTTCATGTGATAGTCATGTATCAAATTCTTCACTTAAAAAATGCACCACATTGACTTGGAGTGCCCTTTTTCTCTAAAATAATGCCTTTCTGAGATAAAAAAAAAACAAAACAAAAAAACAATAACAGACAAAAATTAACACACGATCAACATTTTATGATACACTTATTAAAAGCATAATATGCATGTTTAATTAATACTTCGTTTTAATGGCTAAGAACCAATGTATATTCCCTTTATCTACCAAAAGAAAAAATAAGAAAAGAACATAAACAGCCAGAACTCATATTTTGAGAAAATATAACAAGATCCATAAATACCAATTTTGATTTTCCTCTGACTTTACCTGAAGAATGTCCAGCAAAGCATTATTATATCTCTCAAAATGACTGCATCTAATGCACAGCATTATTATATCTAACAACAGCACTAATTTGAAAGGTCTTTGATTCTACAATTGTCAGAAAATGAAGAGTTTAACTCAGTGAATTGAACCATGAAATAAAAAAGTAACCATTTGAAATAAAATGTAACAGTTTATACAAGCTTGTAGGTTTAATCTGTGATAATAGGAGTGCATCATTCATTTTTCAGAACAGCAAATGCCCTGACATTGATACTATGTAAGTTCATAAAACTGCTTTTAAAAATTTAGACGTTTTGCGAAACTCAGGTAATAATATACTTCAGGTAGTAAACTTGATCATCAAGGTTTGGTCTTTAAGAATTGGTCCAAACCTACGAGGCGGCCATGACTGCTGTTACATATACAGCAGTCACTACACATGGACATCCATATAGCGTGTATTGTTAAGTATAATAACTCATATTAAGGAGACCATCTATCAAAATGCACTCCCAATATTTGCAATACATGTACTTTTGTGAATTCAGTCATTAAGTTAATAAAATTCCTCACAAAGTTCTTGAATTTCTTTAAGTACAGAGAACATCAGGCTTTGCATAGAGCTGGATTCTGGGAAAATTCAAGAATGTTCCTCAAAAAGTTTGCCTCTAGGTTTGGATTACAGAAAAAGAAAAAAGTCAAACCAAAACCAACACCTCAAATGGTGACAAAAATAAACAGGTTTACAAGCCTTCTTAAAACTTATTTCCGTACAGGTTCTCTGAATGTTTGCATTAAAACGTGTTTGTCAGTGCAAGTAAAACAACAGATAAAGTTGACCCATGTCCATTACCAATCCTGTCTTACACTCCCCATTTCATACTGGCTGTTGATGAATATTTTATTACAGTTATTATAGTTTTTAGAGAACAACCGTGCACAACTTTTTGATCACAAAACAGGATTTTGTCCATACCACTCAGACGGAATAATTTCCCGTTGTGTTTAGTACCGGTACGATCTTTAATCCAAGTAAGCTTTTTGATAATAATTCAGTAGGTTACTTATTACTTTTGGGATAAATGCAAATAGTCCTATATGTCAACAATTTGTGGATCCACTACATTCACGACTGACATCCACTGATTCACCACTGGTATCCACTGAAGCTGCTGATAAGCTTTTTGATAATAATTCAGTAGGTTACTTATTACTTTTGGGATGAATGCAAATGGTCCTATACGTGAACAATTTGTGGATCCACTACATTCACGACTGACATCCACTGATTCACCACTGGTATCCACTGGAGCTGCTGATCAGCTTAATCACTGTCAGAGTCAGACTCATCACTCAGCTGTAGATCTTGACCTAGAGAGAGAGTCAAGTAAAATGATCATCATATTAAAAATGAGTGGATCTGAGGATTATCTTTGACCCAAATCCATGGCTCTGCTTACTGTAAGCAAATAATGCCCGCTAATTGTAGCAGAGAATTCTGCCTCACGTTTAGTGCATTTCATGGGTTTACAAGAAATGTTGGTTTGTGTATAGGTGTAACACCAAAATAAATCACACACAAAAAAATCAAAAAAACGAAGCATTATGTTCTCTGGATTGTGTGTCAGATAATTTGACCAACAAAGATAATACTTCAGTTTGCATCTGCAAACTTAATGGAAAATGGTGAAAGTAAACAATTACTTTAGCTTCAGTGCATCTTCAGCTATTGTGTAGAATTGATATTGAGTGGATTCAGTGTTCCAAATATTATGAAAAAAGCCATTTGCTGTAAAGCACAAGTTTTGCTATGTGCCATGACAAAACTCACTTTTTCTGACAAAGACAGTGAAAAGCAATCTAATACACCTCACTCGATTTGTAAGATGGAATAAAAGGCGACAAACTGAAAGGTACATGCATGATCCCTGGAACAACTTTAAAACTTCAGATACGTACTGAGTTGACTACGAAGGTATTGAGCAGAGTTTTGACTCGTTTCCAAGTGCCTTCCTCTTGGCGGACTGTCTGATTTGGCTTGTGGATGTCTCCTGCTTCCTGTGAATAAGTCAAGGAATGGTTGATTATATCATATCTTGATCACAAGTCAAGGAATGGTTTGATTCTATCATATCTTGATCACAAGTCAAGGAATGGTTTAATTTGATCATACCTTGATCCACAGTAAGTTAATATGATATGCAGTGTTATTTGACCCAGAGAACCCAGAGCTACACATTTTATGATTTTGTGAACTAATATTCAAAACCCTCCACCGACTCATCGCGCTCTAAAAGCAAGTCCTTTTTAACTACTCCAATATTTTTTTAGTCAAAAATTAAATTTTTCACAAGTTCCTCATTTAAACATAGGCAAATAAGATTGCGAGTGCCCCTTTAAGTAGCTTGAAATATTCACCCGACAAACCTAGCCAAACACCAACCCCGCTAACAAGAACCGCACGTTTGTGTAATGAAATCCTTATGGTGAGTCTGGTTGGCCTTATTGCAGGGCGTGGATAATCAATCATTCTGTCAACTAGACTAGTCAACAAGCTTATAAGTGATGGCTGTTTGCAGTCATCTGACTACTATAACCTAAATTTAATAGACTGAATAGTGTATTAATAGTGGCGTGTATTTGGACCCTATTCAAATGCGTACTGTAATTTAGAGTACGACCGTTGGACTGTGGGTGTAAAAAATGTTAGTCGCAGGAACTGACCACTATCTGTGTGCCTTGAGTTGACGTTACCATTCCTCAGTGCCTGGCTGCCACCTCCATCATGTCCATTCTCCTCACCACTGGAGCTGCTGCTACTACTCCCCTTATTGTCGTTATCGTCGCTGTCGCTATCAGTGATGTAGCTACTGGATGAGTCCGAGTCGTCATGGTGATATGAAGCTTGATGGGAGGGCGGGGTGTGAGGAGATGGGGCGAGGGGGGACGGTTGGAGAGGGGAGATCTCCCCACCTGTGGGAAAGGAAAGACATTGCTATATTGTTATTGAGATTTGGCCTACGGAATCCCCACATTAGTACCCTCTCAACATGACAAAGAAACAGTTATGAAAACTATTCTTGAATGCAATAGTCCTAAGACCTAATGATGTTACCCTTAGTTTACATGTGTGCTTTCCTATTTCCCACCAGGCTCTCATAGGAAAGTGCACATGTAAACAAAGCGTGACGTCATTAGGTCCCAGGTCTATTGCAGGGATGCAAGAGGACTCCTTGACATTTTTTGCATAAAATGTGAGTTATAAAAAAAAGAATACACACATGCATGGTGCCAATATGTTATTTACAATTTGAAGAGGGGGTTGTGAGGGGAGAAATTGTGACAATGGACTCCGTGAAGAAGTACCCCTCAACGGTTCCAACTGGATAATTGGGGGCAGAACACTTCCAGGGACATTCAAATGCACTGCCTGACGCTCATGTGGTGAAGATGCTACTGGTTAGTGCACATTCAACATAGAAATTAGTTGTGCGTACTTGGTGCAATACCAGTGTGTCTCTCCTAACAGGGTTTTCGAAAGAGATATCTACTACTCGAGTCCCTATCCTAAAAATAGATGATCGAGTACCTTGCTCAATATCAGGTGCTGCCAGTACTGCATTTGTTGAGGATAGGTCCGCTCTCTTACTCTTTGAACTTGTAGAGGTCAAGTTGGGGGAGTTCTTGAGGTTAGTTGATGAGTCTAGGCCAGCTAGCAAGCGACTCTGTTGGGCTTTACTTGTACCTTCTTCCCTGTATACAGACAAACAAAATAACTGTGTTGAGTTTTCGAGAAAACAGTGAAAGACCATGCACAACTTTTGGATCTCGAAACACGATTTTGTCCATGGCACTTGTTATTTCCAAAAATCAGTCAATGGACTAATCGTTGGAAATCACCTACATTTCTTGATTTCTTCTAAAATGACAGCAAGCCAGACTGAAATAAATTTCACATGGTGTTTAGTACCACTACGATCTTCAATCCAAGTAACCTTTTGATAATAATTTGCTAGGTTACTTTTGAGACAAATGGAAATGATCCCATATGCCTTTAAAGACAGGAAGTATTCATGATAAGTTAACTGCCACTGACCTTTGCTTCTTGACCTGCATATTACAGGTCAATCTCTCCAGTGTAAACTCTCCTGTCCGGTGATCATAGATCAAGACACATTCCTTCTGCAGAGATCTCTTGGAACCCTTGAACTTGGTACACGTCGTCCCTTTACTCTGTAACCAATATGACAAGACAAACTGCTCAGCCTATTTTAGTTAGATTTGATTTCAGGTCATGTACAGACAGGTCTGTGCCAGACATTTTTTTTCTCCAAAACTTTTTTTACAAATCCTAGACCGATAAATTTACAGAATACAAGAAAAAATATAACAATTACATTATAATAATGTGGTGCTTATTAAGATAGGCCTTAATACCAAAGGTCTCAAAGTGCTTGACAATTATTGCCCCTGATCATCAAGTGTTTTTTTCCTGCAAATGCTGAGGTCAGCAAAACGTGGTCTCTTCCTTTACAGGTACTCATTCATATTCATGGGTGGACAGAGGCAATGATGGTTAAGTGTCTTGCCCAAGAACACAAACGCCATTTCCCCATCAGGCTTCAAACCCCAGTACCACAGCACATGAGTTGCACACCATAACCACTGGACCATGGCACTCCTGACATCAGGCCAAAAAGAAAAAAACAGTTCTGCTTCCGATTACAGTACATAGGTAGGGATGTTTTCTTTGGCAAATTTTTTTGTGTACAATCAAATGGAGGTGTCTGCCTGTAGTAAAGGGTACAAACGTAGTTGATGGTTTTCAGGGGTTTTCCCCTTCATTCCCCCCCCCCAAAAAAATTATGATTATGTAGAGTATCATTTCATTCACATAGGGTAGTTGCGCGTATTTTACCTCTACATTAGGCAACGTGATGTTGACTTCATGTCCCTCCCCAACCTCTAGTACTGCTTCTTTAGAATGGTCAACCGATGCTGGCTTGAAGTCATCTAGGACATACAAACAAAAATACAAGTAGATTCTGTCCTCGTTTTTTTGTCTTACTTAGGGCAGTTTTCCACCACGCTCCAAAGCTTGCAAAATACATGTAACTAAGTACAAATCAGTTTCTCTGGCACTGTGCAGCGCGTATGAGGCTGCATACCACCATGGAGAAATAACATACATGTACAGCATGGTTCATAAAGCGCTGTCACTGACGTGCCATGTGTGACCAAGGAGTAGCAGCAATCCCTACTATAGTTGGGCCAACCCAACTACATTGCATTATTCGAACAGTCCCAACTTCAGTTGGACACTCCAAACTTCATGAACTTGAGTTAGGACTGATGGTATAGTATGGGCGTTTCAAAAAACAGTTTCAAAACACTGCTTCACAAAGTAATTCTAGCATAAAGTCGAGTGAGATATTGCAAGCTACACCAGATGTACTTACACCGTATTGTATGGAAGGCCCGGTGCTTGTCCCGATCAAAGCTTCGTCCCAGTTTCAACTGATGTGGCTCCGTACCGAACAAGGCTGTGTCTGGCATAGTACTGCTACTTGATTTGTCCATCTTGGCTAATTATTGTTCAGTACAATATGAAGAAACCACTGAGTTTACGTACACATATATGTGTACTTGCAGCTTATGAAATGCAGAATTTCATGCTCCAGCTGTGTCAATGTATAAGGTTTGTACGATAAAGCACCACAAATTTCAAAAGTTTGCCACACTCATAAACTTGAGGAGGAAGAGAAGACGTTGGGCCCACTAAGGTAGCTGTAGCAGTTGTCTGATTCTTGTTTGGAGGGTACTAACGAGTAATCATTCTCTCTGAGAAAAACAACAACAAACAAAGAAATCACTAATTAGAATCAAATCACTGTAGTGTAATTTATGCTGATGTAACGATCAGATTAGACATCACCTGTGAATGCAACATATTAGGCCAAATCAATAGGGTCAATGGAACGTTCTGTGCATGCAAAATGTAGTGTAACTTGCATGGTCTTTTTTCGTGTTCGGGTTACCATGTGCGCCTTGACTCAAGTCTACATGATTACGTGACTGACAGCAGAACCAATCCAGCACGCGCGTAATCTTTTCAATGTTGGAATTTAGATGTGCAACCGTGTGCAAATGAACCTGGAAATGTAGCGAAAAATAGACATCTGAGAAAGGCGGGACTTCTTTTCCATCACTTTAAAGAGGGTGAGTGTGCTTCTAAAGCATCATTGGCGGAAGATTCCCATATCTGGCCATCACTAATTTTTCCCTTCAGTGACCTTATCAGCCATCAGTGATAAATAGGCCTATGTCCTAAAAAGTCAAATTTAGCAGGATAAATATTGAAGTATTTACTGAGAAAATGCTTAGAAATGTTCAGACCTGTCTCATAATAAGGTTTGTGCACAGGGTGACAAGTGATGGCCATGGGAATCTTTCCTAAACAAAAGTAAATTGCCTAGGACAAATAAAGTCTAAATCTGAAAATTAAAATTTGACAAAGTTCTACATATGTTCGGGTAAATATTCCAAATGTGGCCCTTATTTACGGAGGTAGTCCAGTATATTGGCCACAAGTATGGGGCTATCCAGTCTCAGATCGACTCAGTCTGGTTTCATGATCATACACGCATTTCATAATCGCAACACATACACGTCATGTATGTCATGTACGTGTAGAGTGCATGCGCCACGGCCCTGACGTCCTCCAGCAGCACTGCAGTAACCGGCAGATTTGGATTACTTTTAAGTTCTAACACGGACAAGCAGAAGCTGGCAGCTGCAACATTCGATCAACTTCATTCACAACAAATCAAGGTTTGGGCGCACATTTTTTTTCACAAATGTGCTAACGTATGTTGCAAATGCACATGCAAACATGATGTATTTCGTACAATTACGTGATAAATACGAAAAACATGAAAAATGAAGAATTGCTTCTTCGATATGTAATATATTATTAACCTATGCAAATTTAAACAATAATAATATATTTTCAAAAATATTTGGATTAAGTAAAATTAAAACACACTCATATGATAAATTTTATATCTTTAAAACCTGTTTAGATTAGTGGCTGAATAACATTTTTATATTAACAAGTACATTTATCTGTGAAAGTTGACCTTTTAAAAATGGCGGCGCCCATGTCGATGTCGCGCGCGCTTCATCGATACCTCGTCGTGCACACGTGGTGGGCATGGTGAATGAACTCTCTTTTTTAATACAAATTTTAAGAACGCTGATTCACCTTTTGAGCTGGTGTTTACTTGTCTATTGCGGCTATTGTGTAGTCCAACATGTCAAAAATATTATCTTCTGCAAATTATTATATTCTGGAGAAGTTAGGCCTTAGGCCTAAGGAATTTTGCCTATTTTGGGGTGGAAAATGTACTTCGGATACTGCATTATTTCTCCCGTTTTCAAAATGTTGAAACATCGGTAATCCTTACCTTTAGGACCCCTTTCCTATATAAGGTTAAAAGACTCACCAAAACAGCTGACTAAATGACACTCAAAAGTGACATTCTGATATTTCTTGGCACATTTGAACATTTGGCAATGACACTTCTTGAATATCAGCAGGTTTAATTTTGTAGAAAGAGGGCAGGGCTTTGATTTATGAGGGGTTAAAGACGACGATGACAAACAGAAAATATATTTAAAAAGCAAGATGGCGAACTGCAAAAAATGTAGGAAAGTCACATTTTCTTTGAAAGTGCTTTCAAAATTCTAACTAACATGATCGAGTTTGTCTGAAGAAAAAAGACTTCTTTAGCCTGCAAAAGTCACTTTGGTACTGGACAGTCATCTGCAAAAGTCAGTTTTGAACAGAACTCATACAAAATAGAGGTGTCCTAAAAGTAAGGATTACCGAAACATCTGTGATTTATAACAATTGTATATTTTTCAGATTTTCACACAGAAATGGCTACACCAGAGCCAGCATCTCGGGCAGTTGATGTTCCCTGTGTGAGGGATTCACCATCTAATCAAACAAAAGGTCACGGGGGTCGACAACTCACAGATGTAGAATGGCAAAAGCTGAATGCAGACACGGCACTGGTATCGGACTTCAAACAAGCAAAGCTTGAAAAGGAAGCGCGTAAAAACTGGGACCTGTTCTACAAGAGAAACTCGACCAATTTCTTCAAAGACCGACACTGGACCTCAAGAGAATTTGGTGAACTTGCAGAGATAGAGACAAAGGTTAATACTTAACCTGGAGGACGACATATAAATGTTTTTGTGAGAGGGAATATGGACTTCTTTTGATGAAATTTTTTTGTGGTTTCTTTTGATTCCTTTTTTGTGTGTGGTTTAATTGACTATGTTACTACAGGATGAATCCAGGTCAGCCCAGCGGATTTTATTGGAAGTAGGATGTGGAGTTGGCAATGCCGTCTTCCCCCTCCTGGAAGAAAACAGACAGTTGTTTGTGTATGCCTGTGATTTCTCACCAAGAGCTGTACAGTTTGTCAAGGTAATTGTCTTTTGTCTGTCTTCAAACTATGAAGACAGTCTGAGGGCTTGCTGAAATAACAAATCGACTCGAGATAGAAACCAACACATTCAAATTGGTTAAGCAGACATTCCCAAACTAAGTGCAGTGTAAAACAGCTGCAAGATTACCAGATCTTTGTTAATTTGGTCAGCATTATATAGCTGAAGCGATTTGCCTAGCCGTGCCGTTGGTTCTCACCAGATAAGCAATTAGGCCTGTGTTAATCTGTCCTTCACTCTACGTAGAGTCCATCACAAGTCCCTGCAAGTCCGCCAGTCCCAATTCAAATCAAAAGCTATTCAAATGAGCTTTGTTCATCCATTCTTTCTTGTGACTGGACACGTGACTGGACACGTGAATTACTTGTAACTGGACTTGTGAGGGACTTGACTACATGTATATCTCTGCGTCTTATCCCACTAGATGCTTCTCCGGTTATCATACTCCTGTATTAAATGACATTTCCCCGCCTTTTTCCAGGATAATTCAGCCTATGACCCAGCCAGGATGTCTGCCTTTCAGTGCGATTTAACCTCCGACCCCTTACGAAGAAGTATCCCAGAATGCAATGTGGACATTGTCACTATGTTGTTTGTGTTGTCTGCAATTCATCCAGAAAAGATGTTGGCAGCATTGAAAAATGTCTTTGATGTGAGTAGTCTGGACTTTCATGACTTTGTGAACTTGTTATCAAGCATCTTGTACCTACGATTTTTCTGTGGAATTAGTAAAAAAAATAACAAAAGACCGGTTTTGGGGCCACCAAAGTCTTTGTTTTCTGGACATTGTCTTTAAAACAGTACCTAGGATGGTGTGAAAGAAATTTACAAAGAATTACAGCAAGATGATTATTATCTTCACCAATCTAAAGTTTTTGCAGAGTTCTTCCCAATGGTGAAAATGTTCACAAAAGTTGGTGAAAAATGGACAAAAGTGCCCGCTTTTGATGGACACTTGCACCATCACTGCCACACGCTCACATTCAGTATTTGTGCATGAGATGAACGCCCAAGCGCTTCTGCACATCTCGTGTCATACACATGCACGCATGGTTGTCTCCTTTAGTTAGTCTGTTGAGGATACAGCAAAGAACTATCTACAGCTTTTTGCATGCAGATCAAAGTTGAAACCATGTCATCTAATAAGTGAATCAAAACAAACAACAATGGAAAATACAAAAACTGCACTTTTCGTTCTATTAATACTGTCATTCTCAGAAGGGTTTGCTGAATTTTGGGGAAAGTATTACATGTGAGATTAAAAAATAAAAGGTTTCAGGACCCCCCCCCCCCCAGTAATTTCCAACTTCCCTAAAATTCTCTTCATCTGAAAACAACATAACGTTTTGCTGGGTTTTTGTTTGTGTTTCTTGACAGGTGCTTAGACCAGGTGGGTGTGTATTATTCAGAGACTATGGGTTATATGATCATGCCATGTTACGATTCAACAAAGGTCATAAACTGGCAGACAACTTCTATGTGCGACAAGACGGCACAAGGGCTTACTACTTCACTGAAGGTATGTGACTTGAAGGCTTATAGGATCATTTACCTCAAAAGCAACCTACTTTAATTATTATCAGAAAGCTTACTTGGATTTAAGATCGTACTGGTTTTACTGGCTTTTTCAAATGCAAACTTTTTACAAACTTTCCCACAAAAATAATGTTGTTTTTTTTAAGAACATTCTATCCCTGAATCATATGGATTGGGATCATATATAGAATTTCACCTTGCTAAAAACAACAAATGGGTTGAAAATGCTGGCAACTGAATTTTACGGGCTGTAAAGTTTTGGCAGGTAATATCTGACCGCTATGGAACAAAGAGGTTAATAGCCTTTTCCAATGACACTTTGGGGTCGATTGCATAAAGGGCATTGCTTTATCAATCAATTCTGTGTTTGCAAAAAACTTTTCAGAATATCTGAGCAAGCTGTTCACAGACGTAGGATTTGATGTCGCAAGCAATGAGTATGTCTTGAGGGAAACCGTCAACAAGAAGGAAGGATTGTGTGTGCCTCGGGTGTTTGTCCAGGGGAAGTTCATCAAGCCGAGTCAATCACCATCAAGGGTGACAAAACTGCTGAATGCTGATGAGGAGAAAATGGTCTCCCAAATATCTGCTGATGTTTAAAGTATCACACAGGGTTTAACAGACGTCACCTGAACATTGTTATACAGATAGCTTTTTATTGGATGTAAATATTAGCTGGTTTGTACAGTTAATAATAAAACTTGTCAACAGTGTGACAATAAATTGATCATACTTAATATTAATATTTAATGGGTCTCTGTTGTCAGAAAACAGTTGATTGTACTTTGAGATCACTAACTCCATTTGGCCGCCGACACAGATCCAATTTGCCTATTATTTTGAGGTATGGCTGACATAATAGCAGGGCGCTATTTGGTTTTACCTAAATCAAACAGCACCCTGCTATTCTATCGGACATACCTTGGATACGCTGATGGTAAACCATCCCGAGTAAAACTGAAGAAATCGATGTGTAAGACACAACATTGCTTTGTTGACAGTGTCCAGAAATGATCATGCGTAATATCCAAATGAACTAAAACAACCGAAGATAATTAATTTTTTTTTTGGTTGAGAACTTAAATATATACCATTCCAATTTATATCCATATCTTGATGCTGTAACAATGCATTAAGAGTAATAATATAACACTTAACTATGGCATTTTCTGCAATATTTTAAAAATCATTACCAAAAACCTGCTCGTTGGGGGCAAAAAAAAGATAAACAGGAAATGGGATTGTTTTCAAATTTTGGGATGGAGATTCTAGATTTCATTTTAAATACTGATGCTATCCAGGCCCTAAAAAAATTGCATGAAACTTACATGTTCTATGCAGCTTTTACATTGAAATACTTCACTACAAAAAACATTATAATTTTTTTTTTTTTGATCCTGTATAAAGTTTCATTACTTTGACAAGCAAGGTAATAAAGGATACAATCATTCCTACAGTTTTTTTCTTTTAATGCACTTGATCATGGTTTCTTCAGATGCAACCTGCACTGGAAATCAGCAAATAACATCAATCTCTATACACAGTAAAAACTCAAACAGTTTGGGTTGGGTAGGAGTACTGATCCTCGACAACTGCTGTTGAACCAAAAAGGAAAATTGACGACCACTAAAAACACTTCTCTTGCCACGACCCTCCAATGCAGTTCAACTTCCTATGCAGAATGTGATATGCAATGTAGTTTGAGTAGAGTCCTATTTGCATTGTGATTAACTCTCAGCTGCTTGCAATGCCTCGGCTGCCTTGAATATATGTAAGGCATTATCAGCACCGCCACACAGTAGTAGCTGTTGATAACCACAGAAAAAAAAGCAGTTAGAAATATTATTATGTGTAATTTTTTTTCATATCTGCATGGATTTATGTGCAAAACAAGGTTTAACTCGTCCATATCCGGTTCGTTAGTGTGACGTCATCTCAATTCAACCACGCATACTTCACACGGTGTAGCATAGCATGAATGGAACCGAAAGTTAACGCATCTTGAGCATTTATTCAATGGGCGCTAGTTATCAGTGGTGCGCGCACGTGTATGACGTTTTTACTAATAAACTGGATAACAATGGTTTTAGCTCACAATGCTATGCAAGTCCCATCACAAGTCTTGCAATGACTAACGCACAAAGTCTGGTCACAAGTACTGAACAATATGAAAAGCAGTGTCTTTGTACAATTTCATTTGAACGGCTTGCGACTTGTATTGGAACTGGATGCTTTTGTAAGGAGTTGACTCTACTACTGCTCAGGCGTTAACAAACAAAAAAAATTACGCTAACCCTACCTGCTTGAATTTTTTTGGGCCAAATTGCCGACCTCAAACTTTGTATTGCCACATTTGGCCAAAAATATAAAATGGCAAATATTTTTGAAAAATGAAAAAAATCTTCGCTATGCATTTTTTTTGGTGCTATCGGTATATTAAATAATTAAACAGGTTACTTTAAAAGAATACTGTTAAATGAACCCTAAAGTAAACAAAGTAAGAACAAAATACATACAGAAAAGATGCAATAATTACAAAATGAAAATATTTTCCTGCCTGCCTGCCTGGATCATTTTAAGGAATTTACTCACCTCAGATTGCGACCAATCCACTGCAAATATTTTATCATCCAATCCAGACATGTTGTACAGGGGCGCCCGTGGACTGTTAAAATAAAAAAAATACCACAGGATTAAAGGCATGTATGATCATTTGCTGTTCATGCTTTTTGGTTTGTTTCCAGTAATAACACTCAAAATCCAAAGAAGAATGTTCAAAACCTAGCCAGTTGAAGTTTCAGCTCAGTGGTTACACTTTCAGAGAAAACAGTGAAAAAGATGCACACATTTTGATCACAAAACATTTTGTTAAATGCATGTATAACTCTTTTATTCCAAAACTCGGTCAATGGACTAGATCCTTGGAAATCACCTACATTTCTTGATTTCATCTTAACGACAGCAAGCCAGACGGAATAATTTCACGAGGTGTTTAGTACCAGTACAATCTTAAATCCAAGTAAGCTTTTCGATAATATTCGCTAGGTTACTCAAGAAACTGTTACTCTCTCATTTTGTCTCAGTTGAGGGAGAACTTGTGCGCACTGTCCATAAGCTACACTGCACAAACATCTGTAAACGCACATTAATTTGGCACATATTCAAATAGGGCACGCAGTTGAATACCCGGAGGTTTGTTTCGCCTACCTTCTTGTATCCCACAACTTCAACGTCTTGTCGTATGAGCCGGATATGAGAAGGTTTTCATTATCAGGAGACCAATCAACAGAGGACACCCAGCCATGGTGATGCGTCAAGGAAGACTTCACTAAAACACCATCTGCAAGGATTCAAGATCGGCCAAAAAGCAGGCAGAAATTTACGTATGCAAATTGGAGATTTGCTGACCATATACCTTTGCGCTATATGCAGGCGAACCAGCACACCCACGCAGAGATTTTGCTGCTTTTTTTAAGCATTTTCAAATTCAAGAGGGTTCCCTTTCAAAGTAAACACCGGATGGTAGGACTTCACATTGCCACATACCTTTTTGTCGAGGATCCCATAGTCGTATGTGTCTGTCTGTACTGCCAGTAGCAAGCAGCTTACAGTGTGGTGAATAGGATACGCTCAGAAACACTTTATTCCCAGTCTGTTGTAAGAAATTAAACAAATCAAGAATACAAATCAGATTTTGTTTTATCACAAAAACACTTGGCACAACACTGAGTAAGCAGTGTTTTTTTTAAAAGTCAGTGAAGGGCAAAACCCTATACAAACTTTACATCACCCCAACTCAAATTCCATCTTATGAATAGTTTGGTTACGGTACCCCCTGCTACATCAGATGTGAACCAGCCAGCCGACTCGGACAAGCTCGGCGGTGGAGTGGTAAGAGGTCTGCACTAGTGAGCATGAGGTGATGGGTTCAAGTTCGATCCAAATAGTTTGTAAATTTTTTTTCTCACAATCACTCGGTATAAGACCGAGTATACAGTGTCTATAGAATATATCGGTGAAGGGCAAAACCTTTTAATGAATGTCCTACCCATTTTTTCCAACATTACAGCTCTGGAGTGTTTTCGTAAAGGCCAGTGGTAACTGAATCCCCCAAACTATACCCAATCATGAATGGCATTGCATGCAGCACCTCACTCTTCACTTTTTATTGGCATGACTGCGAGCTGGATGGGAGCTTCCAGTAAAATCAGATAACTGTTATTCGGCTTGAAAAAAAAAACTTGGGTAAATGGAATGTTAAAACTACAATTTTTTCACCACTACTTTTGCCTTTCATGGACTTGTGATGTACTCAACTACAACATTGTGGCACACATTGAACCATCAGAAGATGATCTTACCAATGTTGAGACATGTTCACCCTGTTCCACGTCCCATAACTGCATGGTGTGATCCCACGATGCAGTGCACAGGCTCCGCTCATCTAACCACACGAGGGACGAGATGCCCTGACTGTGACCATCAAACGTTCTCAGCGGCGTCTGAATTGAATATTTACATGTACAGGATTTATAATGAATGGTTTATATTAAACGTTCCCCAACAAATATATTAAGTAAAGTGTATTTCCAGAATAGGGTGGAAAATGGGAAATTTTGGAATGGACTGCTCACAAGTCATGTTGGTGAGCCCGGACATCCAGGAACTTCCAAAATCCCCTCATCTCATTCTCAGACCCATTTTCGTAAAACTGAATGGTTCTAGAGTCTGGGGTGCTGAACGGCAACACACAGCATCAGGTGAAAATGCATGTGCCGATGAAAAATTGTTCTCACCGGCTGACATAATACCATGCTGTCTTATCATTTGAGATTGGTTGGGGAGGGAGGGGGGGGGGAGGGGAGAGATTCTTACCCTGGTGCGTGGTTTGTGCACTTCTGTCTTGGCTTTCTTGTGATGGGTTTCATCAATTTCTTCATCGTCACCGCCAGGAACTACACATCAACACAAAGGTAATTTGCAGAAAACAAACAAATTCACTATGAGGCCAAGTAAACAAATAAACCAGTTTCTCGTCTTGTCCCTGCCCACCTCATTTTTCCTGCCCGCCTTTTTTTTTTTAAATTCATACACGTGTAATATATTTTGCAAAGTTTGTCAATGCTTTGTTTTTTTAGGATCACTGGACCGCTCAGTTGGTAGAGCACTGGAGTGGCAATAAGGAGGTTGCAGGTTCAAACCCCACTCTGGTATATTGCTTTGTTCAACTTTGAATTATCATGATGCAATTGGTCAGTTTCCCTTTGTGCTTTATTTGAAAGTTTTATTTTAAAGAAAATAAACTGCTGAATACACATACCTGCTGACCAGACTTTTAACATTGAATCCATTGAACCACTTGCAATCTGTCAGACAGGCCAGAAAATGAAAAGATGCGTCAGTTCAGAAAAAGAACCGCTATTTAGTTGCAAATTATCAAATGTTTTGCACATGATTGGTCTATAGGGTCCGACTGTATGATGTCAAAGTACCACATGACCATCAGGTGATCGGGCACCATTGCAGTAGGCAAGCGTTTAGTTACCAACCACATAGTGCATTGTAAAGTACATATTAGGGCTTATGTCCACGTAAACTAACCACACATCCTCTATCAAATGGCATAATGGTCACTCCCTGTGTCGCGTACGGTTGTCATTATCTTGCCGACCAAGCACTGGGTGTTGGATCCGCATTTTTCTCAGTTTTTGCCATACATCAAAGTTTTGAAGGCTTGCTTACAACCTACTATGCTATACAATCTTTGCCTACTACAATGGTGACACTGAATTTCCTGCACCTAGATGTAGACTGGGTCGCGTGAGTCAGACTATAGACAAATCCAGCGGCAGCCATTTCAGGCTCATGTAGCACACATGCACACCAGGCTCCTTCAACCAATAGGAATAACAAGATGCATGTGCGCCTTGTCTTTACGAATGTGTGCAGCATGCGCCTGAGCATGACACCACCGCAGTAAAAGCTTCTAATTCTGTTCAGCGGATTCCACTATAGACAAACTCTCCACACTACCAGTGTTACCTTTGTATGTGATTGGTCTACTGCCACACTCTCCACACTGCCAGCATGACCTCTGCATGAGTGTAGGCATTCATGCTTCTGGGTCGTCTCGTTCCATCTCCAGATCAGTAAAGTCTGGTCCATGGAGCCACTCACTAACAGACTCTCTGAATCATCTGCAAAGAACAAAGAAATTAAGAGGGCTCATGTTTAAATTCACGACATTTTGTGAGTGATCTATGAAACTACATTCAATCTGTTCCTAGAAATGGATTTATTTCCCATGAGCATTTCAAATTTGTGTTCTTCAGGATGTCCTTCACAAAACTGAACCCTCTAAGTGCTACTTTTACAGTTCTTTTAAAAATATATAGCAAATATTGATACATATTTGACCAATAAACATGTAGTTCCAATATAGTTCATTAGCTTTTTAAAAATGAAACAATCTGTCCAATTGAAGAAAAAAAATTATTGAGTTATGGCCAATTCCAAAGCAAATGCTGGGTTTTTTTTTTATTTTGTCCATGGTCTTCATTTGGTATTTGGGGGACATCTTAAATATTTTAGGATTTGTCATTGTTGCAATGTCAAAAATTTTGAAGTGATTTGTGATCGTTTTTTTTACGGCTTCCATATTTCCTCCAAGAAAGATTGTAAGGTGAAAACAACATTCCCTCTTACTTTTATGATTTACACATTTCATGTAATTTTTTTTTTCATATAGACTTATTTGCGAAACAAAATTAGACGCCAGGTTTTGAGGTAAACCACATTTGGGCTCAGGTAGTACGCAAGCACTTTGGGCTCCTTCATGGTTAAATAGGGTTACCAAAATGTGCGCCGACTCGTCTTTATCAACGCGACGTCCCGATGCACGCAAAAGTGGTTCTACCTCAAAAAAAATTGTTCGCTGAATGTCTATTCATACATCCAACATTTTTCACATTATCTAACCTGTTTGTATCCAAGCCACTGTTTTGACTGGATCAGAGTGGTAGTGCATTACAACCAGATTCTCTCCGTCTTGTGTCCATATCCTGACGGCGTTGTCGTAAGAGCCTGTCACTATCCTATGAATGACGGATAATTAGCAAAACATATTAAGTGGTGTGTCCTGATTGAAAAAAAAAAACATGGTTACCCGGGTATCGTAAAAGAAACACAACCCCAAACTTCATATACCCGGAGTTGCTGTTCAGATTGTACAGCAAGTTCTATACTACGGTGCGTCAATACAGCAAGATACAAGTTTGAACAGTGAGCTTATAGAAACGACAACTTTCGCAAGCGTCATAAATGTGAAATATGTTTTGCTTCCCATAAATGGATGTAGTCTGGTTTTCATTTTTAAAATTGCCACAACTGATGTTCAAAACCTTTCTTTGTCATTGTCTGAGAAGTTAATAAATAATTTGTAAAGTTGGTTACGGGAACGGGTACCCAATCCCATAATATGGAACTGGTTTCTGATAGCAATGGTTGGGTACTCGGGTACCCAGCTCCGATGCACAGCCCCAAACAGATGATACCACACCTGTGATTGGCTGTTTGTACTGAGCTGACCCAATCATCATGCAGGATGCTGCCCGCAGGTTGAGGGGCTGGGTGTTTCTCCAAGTACTCAATCTCAACCACACTCTCCGTAGAGATGCCGTTTTCCTCCAGGTGCTTGCCCAGGGCCACACGCAGGAATTCGCCATGAATGAGGAAGTCAAAGTCAACAGCAGGAGCATCCTCAGAATCTGCTCGGAATTAATATTCAGAAACGGTCAACAACTTGGTATCATTTTTTTTTTACACATGTACTTGATTAGAGAAGTATTAGTGGTGTAACAGAGACACGTTACATGCTTACATAGCATATTACTGCAGACTTTCTCAGTACATAAATGACTCGGATATCCATGTCCATACCTCGATTGAGTAGTTTGTTGATGAGTGAACTCAGCTCTGGAATCCCTACAGATGCAGGTACGGAGAATGGAGAGTCACCAACAGAGTAGCTGCCAATAAAAACAGGTACACAGCCACTACAAATCATTCATTTTATCAAATTTTAAACAAAGATATTGACTGCAGCAGGCTTTGGTGAACAACTTCCTCCAGCCCTAAATGACAACCCAATGATAAAATGTAGGGCCGGCTGGGTAACTCCAGCTATAAACATGATGATAAGGTGTCATTACAATATTGTTCAAATGTGTCAAGAAATATATCAGAATGTCACTTTTGAGAATCATTTAGTCAGTTGTTTTGGTGAGTCTTTCAACCTTACAATTTACATAGGAACGGGGTCCTATAGAAAGGTAACGATAACCCTTTTTTAGTTACACTGCAGCCTGCTCAAGTTACCAGTTAAACTCTCCATAGACATGATAGACTTTGTACACAACCGCACCGCTGAAGTGGCGTAACCGGCGTACTCCCGCGTATTAATTCTTTCCCCTCGTCTTCTTACATTCACTCATAACTTACCGTTCTTGCCTGGTGACAAACTTGGCCTGGAGATGAGACCCGTAGCCACTTATACCCGAGTCGGTGGCCATGAGTCGTTTTCTAGAGAATCTAAGTTAATTCTAAGTCAGAAATGGTCAACTAAAAATTTGGGAAATCAACACAGACACACGTGCATGACCTCAGTGACCCTGTTCGCGTAACCTCGTTCCTGTCAAACTCACTGGATATAGCGCGTGCTGCACTACCGTACCAACGCCATGTACGAGGTTGTACGGAAGAGTCTGAGTAGCAATTATTATTTTCTGCAACCAGGTAAAGTCATTAATCACAATACCGTCTTTAAAAAAAAAACTATAATAATTTAGCTGATTTTAAACACTCTGTTTAAGACAAGATGAAATTTACTTCCACTGAGAACTGGGACATAATACGGACTTACTGAAGCAGGATGGTGACACCGTAGAATGGATGAATAATTTTTTTTCAAATGCTCGAGCCTCGAGAGTATTAATGGATACTTCTTATCCGGAAAACGACTGAGTGTTTTTTTTTTTACTACGGCCAAAAAAAGCTCTGCTTCCGATTACATGGCATTCAAAAATACGGTAGGTAGGGAAGGTTTTTTTTTTTTTGGTGGGGGGCATTTTTGTGTGTGTGTACGATCACGTGGAGGCCTCTATGTAATCAAGGGTAAAAGTTAGAAATTGGCGGATGGTTTGGGTGTTTTTTTCTCATTTTCCCCACACAAAAATAGATAGGGGCTGTCGGCAGGAAGGGAAACCGGAAGCAGAACAAATTTGTTTGCCTAATATAGTGAGGCTGTGTTTTCAAATTCAGCATAGTTAAATTGTTTAATTTTTAATTTTCTTATTTTATTTAAATTATTTTTTATAATTCCGTCACCGTTTTTTTTTGCGGGTAAAGGAGGTCGCTTAAGTTACTGCTGCCTTGCCTGACTTTACTCCCATTATTATCTGTTCTGAATAAAATTGATAAAATCCACAAAACCTGCCTCAGATTTGATGTACCCCCACCAGCATCCTGTAGAGAGTGCTTGCGCCGTCCGGTGCCCGCCGGTTCAAAATTGAGCCCCACCCATCGGGTGGTCTGATAAAAAAATCTCTTTTTTTGCAGACTTAAATTTAATGCAAAACAGTTTAATACGCTACAGTCTATACAAGCTGGAAACACATGTATTTCCACACGGTTATAATGTACTCATTTTTTTCGTCTGCTCATCTTTTTTTTTTACCAGCTCCTTCGTCCAATCAAATTGACTCGATTGCCTACAAGACGCCACCCTAAATACTTCTGACCAATAAGAAACAGCGAGCCACGCGTGCTACGTCACCTATGCCGCCTCGAATTCTTTCCCGTCTTACAAAAAATAGGGAATTTTTGTTATGAAATTGTTGATACTCGATCTGAAAATGAAAACTGTTCCTTCATATAATTTTTCCCTTTAATTTACAATATATACTCAGGATGAAAATTGTGGCATTCTGTTTAAATAGGTCTGCGGGGACAAAACTATATACTAGGCGGAGAAATACATACTAAGTAGTTTGGCCCAAGGCAGCGCAAAAACCCAGGTGCACCAGCCTGTGATATAAAAGGGAACCTCTTCACCACCGAATCATTACGCGATATATCATTACCGAGCCCAGGCCAATAGATACCGGGTGCAGCTTGTAAACCCGCTATTTTTGGTCAGTCACCAAAAAAACATCTCGTCAAACTTCTCAAGCAAACTGGAGATATTTACCTTCAAGTCGGCCGTCCAACTGCAACCACCAACCCGGAAACTCGTACATCTTACCATGGATTCTTCATGTGCGCGAAAAAATGTCGAATTTGGACGCTTGGAGTCTGGCAAGTCGACCAGAAAGCCGGCCTCATGTGACCGGGTCACTGCAACATTTCGACCCGCACAATGCTGGCATGTTGCGGTGTCATGTATCATGCATGTGCGGAGTCGTCGTCACTGACTTGAACTTTGCTGTAGGCCTACAGAACTTGTCATAAAAAACTTGTATTTTACTGAACTGAACTGAACTTCGCAACTGCATTCCTTTGAATGCTGATTTTGTGCTAGTGAACTGAATGCACACATGATATTTTTGTGAACTGATAATTTTGTCGAATGATCTGAATGACGATTTTGGAAAATACTGAAGTCAAGCTTTTGGAGCTCGTCGGGGGTAAGTCCAATCGTATTATATGGGAATATCGAGGTGAGTGAAAATTAGCTTCTCCTCTGGTCACACACAACAAACGGCTCCTTGCATCTTCAATATTATGTACTTGGTACCTGATATTTTCCCCAATTTTTTAAAGCTCAACTGGCCATAAAGTCGAGCCAGAAAATTCCCCTCTTTGAACCCTTAAATCGTACATTTATAACCAACATATTGTACTACGAGGTTGTGTCTTGCATTAGTTATATTGCACCATAATCTGTCATAGCTCCCATAAATTGTATTTGCAATGTGTAGTGTATGCTTAGATGTTGTTAGCAAGAATATGCATGTGTACATTTTACCAACAAAAATGTCGTCCATTCTCCTACACGGGTTTGTCTTTTTGCATTGCTGTACATTGTATGTTGAAATACCATTCCTGTTGCGAAAGCCCTCTTGATTGAAAGAAATTTGCATTATGAATACCTGCCAACTTGTTTGTCAAAGTATTACGTGTGTAATGAGCCATGTCGCTTTTTTTAAACACTACCACGACACGCCTTTGGTGCATTGCGCATTCTACACATGGTTACAGAGCGAGCGAGAGTCGTGCATGTTCGTAGGTCGCACGTGGCCAGCGTGGGCAGTGGGCGTGGTCATAGACTGCGGTGATTCTTATTGGTGGAAAAGTTGAAAGGCCGCGCGCCCGGTATGCGGCCAGGTGTTTTTCCGTCTCAACTTTCAAAGCGTTCCATGGAGATTTCTTTAGGGATTTACTCAACAGTTGGAGTAAACAGGTTTGCATTTGGCACTAAAATCGGAAGGTTCCTTGGAATTTAGTTTGCATTTGCCGTTATAATTGTATTAAAAACGACTGGTTTAAAGACTTAGTTATGAGAACAAAATAACAGTTTTGAGCTTTTATTATTGTTTATTTAAACGTGACGTCATACAATAATTGAGGAGATAACAAGGGAGCTAAAACTGAATTTATTTAATGCAAGCACATCATTTACATTATTATAGGGTGGCATTCCAATGGACTAAAACTTTATGGACATTGTATATACAGATCTCAAAATTGTATTCATTGCCTAAAATAAACGACCTTACACCATTAACTTCAGGGTAACTTGTAAATGCTAAGTTGAGGAAGACCGACCTGAAGAGCAAACTCATTTAAAACTGATTATGATTGTATAAATTTGTATTATGATTGTATAAATTATTTGAAGCTCATCAGAATGGGAGAAGACCTGCTGTTGAGGATATCGATGACCAGCGATAATTTGACGTCTGGAAGAAGACAATTAATCCAAATTGCAAATGTTTAAGGTTAAGGTGTAGGATTAAGGCGGTAGGTGGGGGTATAGGCACATGACGCGCACAGGCAGCAAATCGCCAGCGTGCAGCAGCGTTAGGGTGTAAAAATTACCTTATTAAAATATTTTAACAAAATAATTACAAAGTTTTAAAAAAAATGTGAACAAATCCGCAGGCAAGTCTGAGTTTGATACTTAAACAAAAATAATTAATGGTAGTCAACTAAAAATCTGTATTGGGGTAGTACATTCCAAGGGTAAACAATACAATTATCAATAAAGAAGATGACTTTGTATATCAAATTTGGTTTTAAAATCAGTGGATACGCGCAATATACAGAGCTCTAAGGTTACTCGGGTTGATGAGCGTCTGTCTTTTATAATAAGTCATAATTTGGAGTAAGTTGTCGTCATATTTTCTTGTAGGTATGATATCTTCCCGAGAAAAAAAATATTTCTCGGGTTGATTATATCTTGTGGATGAGATGTCATCTTCTCGAGACCAAAATGTATCTCGAGTAATTGTTGATATCGTGTAGGTCAGATATCGTCTTCCCGAGAAGGAAAACATTTATCGGGTTGACGGTATCTTGTAGGCATGATATCGTCTTCCCGAGATAATTCTTCACGGGTTGATGGTATCTGGTATAGGTGAGATATCGTCTTCCCGAGATATTGTTTCATCACGGGTTGGTGATATCATGTAGGTGAGATGTCATCTTTTCGAGACCAAAATGTATCTCGAATCGATGATATCGAGTAGGTTAGATATCGTCTTCCAGAGAAAGATTATATTTCTCGGGTTGATGATATCTTGTATAGGTGAGATATCGTCTTCCCGAGATATAGTTTCATCACGGGTTGGCGATATCTTTAAGGGGAGATGTCATCTTCTAGAGAAAAAAAATATATCTCGGGTCGATGATATCTTGTAGGTATGATATCGTCTTCCCGAGATATTGTTTCATCACGGGTTGGTGATATCTTTAAGGGGAGATGTCGTCTCTCTGAGAAAGAAAATATTTCTCAGGTTTACGATATCTTGTAGGTATGATATCGTCTTCCCGAGATATTGTTTCATCACGGGTTGGTGATATCTTTAAGGGGAGATGTCGTCTCTCTGAGAAAGAAAATATTTCTCAGGTTTACGATATCTTGTAGGTATGATATCGTCTTCCCGAGATAATTGTTCACGAGTTGATGATATCATGATATTTTGTATTTCCCAAATCAGCTAATTAAAGCGGATTTTTAAAGACGACCTTCCAAGTTAAAAAAAAAAATGATCTTATCAACTCATAGCTACTACAGAGCTCTGGAAAATATAATGATTGTAAAAATAAGTATCTTTCCTGAATAAAAATCATAAAACCGGTTTTTCCAATAACATGCATTAACTTAAAAAGAAGACATAAATCAAAAGGTTTTAATATTAAAGTAAGAAAAACCCAATAATGTTTCCCTTCTTTAATCACTGAAAAACAACTTAAGGCAAAGCTATGTAGCCAAATAAAAATATAAATCATGAAAGTGGATAAAGATCAAGTGGGAATAAAATAATGATACACGAATAGATAAAGATGTAGATAAGATTTTTTTAGGGAGCAGCAGCGTACTGCAGAAGGCGAGTAGAAAGCAGCTTGCGAGAGAACGTTTGGAATGGGGAGGGAAAGCAACTAACGTTTTGTACAAAGTATGGCAGTGACTTGTGCATTGACGATAACGCCAGTTAAGTTAAGTTTTAATGTTTGGCATTCTATTTGAATAATACAAACTGAAGAATCAACGAAGAGGACGACCATCGGAGATGTTAATCAACATATCAACAGAATTAATATAAAAGCAATGGCATTGCCTTGAGCGTTGCCGCATCACAACAATATTAAATTTGCTGATTATTTTTGTATAAAGACAAAGGGTGCCTTGAAGAATTAATGGTGTAAAGTTGTCCATTATGCATTCCTTTAAAACTTTTTTTTCGCGAAATATTGCTGTAATTTTTTTGTGAGTTAAGTACTGTCCATTAGAATACCGCCCTCTACAGGCTAATGTAATATTGAGAAGACGACACCCTTGATGGGCGCTACTATTGAGAAACACGACACCCTTGATGGGTGCTACTAATAAGGCGACACCCTTGATGGGTGCTACTATGGAGAAACACGACACCCTTGATGGGTGCTACTATTGAGAAACACCCTTGATGGGTGCTACTATTGAGAAAGACGACACCCTTGATGGGTGCTACTATTGAGAAAGACGACACCCTTGATGGGTGCTACTAATAAGGCATCACCCTTGATGGGTGCTACTATTGAGAAACACGACACCCTTAATTCAGCAGAATTATTAATGTATAAAGTTGTAAAACCATGCATGTACTATTGCAAGAGATTTTATTTTTGTGGAGGCGACACCCTTGATGGGTGCTACTATTGAGGCAACACCCTTGATGGTTTGTACTATTGAGAAAGATGAAACCCTTGATGGGTGCTACTAATAAGGCGACACCCTTGATGGGTGCTACTATGGAGAAACACGACACCCTTGATGGGTGCTACTAATAAGGCATCACCCTTGATGGGTGCTACTATGAGAAAGACGACACCCTTGATGGGTGCTACTGCATCACCCTTGATGGGTGCTACTATGGAGAAACACGACGCCCTTGATGGGTGCTGCTATTGAGAAACACGACACCCTTAATTAAACAGAATTATTAATGTATAAAGTTGTAAAACCATGCATGTACCAGCAAGAGATTTTATGATTGTGGAGGCGACACCCTTGATGGGTGCTAGTATTGAGGCGACACCCTTGATGGGTTCTACTATTGAGAAAGACGACACCCTTGATGGGTGCTAGTAATAAGGCGACACCCTTGATGGGTGCTACTATGGAGAAACACGACACCCTTGATGGGTGCTACTATTGAGAAACACGACACCCTTAATTCAACAGAATTATTAATGTATAAAGTTGTAAAACCATGCATGTATCAGCAAGAGATTTTATTTTTGTGGAGGCGACACCCTTGATGGGTGCTACTAATAAGGCATCACCCTTGATGGTTGCTACTATGGAGAAAGACGACACTCTTGATGGGTGCTACTAATAAGGCGACACCCTTGATGGGTGCTACTATGAGAAAGACGACACCCTTGATGGGTGCTACTAATAAGGCATCACCCTTGATGGGTGCTACTATGGAGAAACACGACACCCTTGATGGGTGCTACTGCATCACCCTTGATGGGTGCTACTATTGAGAAAGACGACACCCTTAATTCAACAGAATTATTTATGTATAAAGTTGTCAAACCATGTACCACCAAGAGATTTTGTTTTTGTAAAGATTGAAGAGTGTTAAAGATAATAATTATAATTTTCCAAGGAACCTATCCGCATGATTCTTAAGACACAATCGTACTTAGCATCAGATGGCAAAGGAAAGACAATCTCGCCGCCACGATATATGCAAAATAAATAAACGTTTTCCGGCGTTTTTCCGAAAATTATGTATTCGAATTGCGTAGCACGCTCTCCGCTGATTGAAAACGAACCGTTCAAAAGGTGACATTTAAATTAAAAACGTGAAATTCCTCAAGGGTAAAATCAAATTAATGACGAGAAATATTGTTGAAGCAGAACCGTAAAATCGAAAAAAAAATTCGAATGATAAATTGAATGAAACGAATGTTAATCATTTTGTCCGCTTTGTGTAGGAAGAAAATAAACCGACAAAATAGCAAGACAGATCACGATCTATACGCGTTCACGGAGTAAAATACGAAATTAAACGGCGAGACATTGCAAAAACAATAAAAAGTTGAAAACATCTATCGAAGAAGAAGAAACGGAAAGTAGTTACCCCTGAAAAAAGCATCTGAACGGCAAACACTAAATGAATGCACGGCGTTAGCGATATCATCCATTTTGTGTTTAATACATCTCGTTAAATTCTTGAGTTGAAAAATTAGTAAATGATGGTTTTCGAGAAACCATTATTGTGTGGTATTTATTTCCTTCATAGCCCCCTCCCCCCCCCCCCCCCAAATAAATCCCTAACGGGCCCCAACACACAAGCTGGTATATTCTTCAAACCAGATAAAATTTTTGATTGTTTTTAGGCAGCAGATGGGAAATGAATGAAAATACCATGGCGCAGGAATCTATTTATTTTCATATGGTGTGTAATTACTAATTTGCATTACCGCCTCGGGTGAAAACAATTCTGTTTTAATTAGCGTCATTTCTACTCAAGCTTGTATTATTTAAATGTGAAAACATTTGCTGTTAACGAGATTTATTATTTAAATGTAAAATGTGGAATTATCGGATACACGATAAAAGAAATCCGGCAGATATGTAAGGGTGCTCTCCTTTTTTTGGAATTGACACGAGTTACTGCTGAACGACCACTGAAATACGGATAGCAAAATGCGGTAATAGACAGAAGCGAGATGAAAGCACGCGAAGAGATGCAAAACATCAGCAATCTGAACAGAAATGAAAAGAAATGGAATGAAATTGTTATTGTCGAGAGATTGTTTGCAAGATATTCTAGGGTCATGTATACTTATCTTTCTTTGTAGAATGTTTGGTAGAAATTCCCCTTTTTGCTACCCTCGGCCTATTTCTCTCGCAGTGTGTAAACCCAATCTTGTGAAGAAATCTAGGGACATATGTGCTTTTTTAACCGTTTTTGGAAGTTTCTGTTTTTGTTTTACTCAATTATGGTCTTCCCCAACTTGTCTGAGATTCATTGTGCAAGAATAACCAAGGCCATGTGTTTAACCTCTCCCTGCGACCAGCTATAGTCGCCTGAAAGATGTTTTATAATCCTTTCAGTGCAGAAATCCAGTGAAATTGATACAAATTCTTGCTTTAATTGAGAGTCATTGTGCCAACTATTTTGATCATGACGTGTGTAAATATTTTGTTTGCTGTTTTTGAGTGTTTCATAGCAAATTTTCTGTCTCGTGCCTTAATCGTTCGATTGCGAGACGCGATTCGAGTACGAAAAATACGGTCGAGTACGAGTTCGTACACGGGCTTGAGAGAGAGTACGACGACAGTTACACGGGTACGAGTTCGTGTTTTGAGTTCGAATGCGAACAAAGTTCGTGTTTGAGCTCGAGTCCGAACAAAACTATTTCGAGTACGCAAAAAAATAGACGAGTAAGAGTTCGTGTACGGGGTTGAGTGAGAGTACGTATAAAGTAACACGGGTACGAGTTCGTGTTTGAGTTCGAATGCGAACCAAGTTCGTGTTTGAGCTCGAGTCCGAACAAAGCTATCGAGTTCGAGTACGCAAAAAATACACTAGACGAGTACGAGTTCGTATACAGGGTTGAATAAGAGTACGACTGACAAAGTTACACGAGTACGAGTTCGTGTTTGAGCTCGAGTGCGTATTAAGCGAGTAGCCTATTATACAAGTTGGTGTTCGAGTAAAAAGATATACATGAGTATACGAGTACTTTAGCTGCTACTGACTACCACCTTCTAACTTCGACACATTTTTTTTTAGGGAAGTTATGGTGGCCTGTCTTGTAATATCCTTATTTCGCCGTTTCGCGCAAATTGCAACAAATGTACTTGATTTTTTTAAAAATCTTTCCCATTCAATACCTTTTGCTTGATTATTGACTTTATTGACACTTGTTGAGATTTTCCTTTCGTTAGGGCCATGTGTATAAATCAAACTTTGAAATTTCAGTCATGTCTGAACGCTTTCTCGTCGTTCTACATTGATACACATTGTGAAAAAATTCTAGGGCCATGTGTATACAAACCTTTCATCGAAGTTTTCTATTAATGTCTGCCAAACCCATATTTTTGTCTTGTACATTGTATTTTCTTTTGTTCTTAATAACTGACAGGTTATTGCAGGATTCTAGGGCCATGTGAACCAATCTTGCTTTGCCTTTGCAGAAACTCCTTCAAATTTATTATGCAAGATTACGTAGGGCCATGTGACATACAAATCTCATATCCCTCCGATATGTGGACATTTCTCTGATTGTATTTTCTTGAAAAATACATGCAAAAAAGTCTTTTCATCCTGCTTTGAGTGTGTAAAATATTCCGCAGCAATTTGTTAAGTTTCAACAGCTATTTTTGAAGTTTACAAAATATAAAATGCTGGATCTAAGCTTTTCTATATGGGTATCCCACACCTGTTATAACTTAATTGTGATCTGAATGAAATATTTAAGGACATGTTCACAAATCTACATTATTTGGCTGTTTAGCAGCAATTTCCTCAACTGCGACGCCATGCCCATCCCTCTTAACGAAAACACCGAGGATTTCTTGTAAAAAAAAATGCTATACCCAATCAAGTGATTATCGTTTCCCTTTGAACAGGGTCGCGTTACTTTCGGCTACCTTGAATTAAATATGTCTTATTTAATTATATGTCCTATTCACATTGATTATTTTTTTGTGATATGTTCTTCTGTAATAGGTCTGATCCGTAAATATTGGTAATGCCTGCTGTGTTAGGGCCATGGTGGTAATGTTACTAATAATCAGGTGATGACACCTGTTTCGTCGAATACACCCCATATTCACTTTGTGAAGTGTCTGTAATGAGTATACACAGTGAAACAAAGTATTGATTTTTTTTTAAAGACCCACAAAATCACAGTGGAGGTTTTGATCAACATTAACTTTTCAATTCGGGTAAGTCCGATCAGCACAGGTCGGCAATGTGAATATTGTTTCCCTTTGAACAGGGTCGCATTACTTTCGGCAACCTTGAATTAAATATGTCCTATCCTAATTATATGCCCTATTGACATTGATTATTGTTTGTGATAATGTAATTCTTCTGTAATAACTCTGATCCGTAAAGATTAGTAATGTCTTTTGTGTTAGGGCCATGGTCACAATGTTGCTAATAATCGGGCGATAATACTTGTTAGGTCGGATACAATCCATAATGGCTCCCCAGTCTACAGAGTAAAACAAAAGTAGTTCATTGATATTTTTAAGATCCGCAAAACGTGTGGATTTGACTGACCAATTAACTTTTCAATTTCGACAAGTCCGATCAGCACAGATCGGCAATGTGAATATTGTTTCCCTTTGAACAGGTTCGCCTTGCCTTCGGCCAACTTGGTACAATATCTATAGATGGCTGCATCCGAATTAACTGTCTAGAGCTAGGTCTAGGTCCACGCCCATTGAAAATACGCGCGGGGGCGCGCTGACAATAGACGTAGCTGTAGCTCTGGAAGCCCGTTTCGGACACGGCCTTATAAGAGACTCCGCAACCAGTAGTCCAAGTGATATTTAGAATAGTCGACTAACTTGACTGTTCTCATTCTCTAAGTGGTCAGGTAAGGGCCACTAATTGGATTCCTCTGACTGTCTGTACTTTGCAGACAGTAGACCAAAAAATAGTTTCCCATTTTCTTTGCTTATACCCATTGATGTGGTCAGGTAAGGGCCACTGAATGAGACTTTACCTACTTAGGCCTAGTTATCCAGAAAGTTTGGCCCAAAATTACGTTTCCATTTGTCTATGGTTGTATCTTTCATTACAGTGGTCAGGTAAGGGCCACTGAATGAGACTTCACCTATTAGGCCTAGTTATCCAGAATGTTTGGTCCAAAAGTGCGTATGGTTGTATCTTTCATTACAGTGGTCAGGTAAGGACCACATTTTCCCCTCGTTTCACCAAAATAACGGTCACTATTTTGACCAAGAATTGACTGTACATATTTACTGACTTAACCTAGCCCCGCTAGGTAGAATTGTTTTCTTTTTTTGTAAGTCCATTTTCAGCCACTTGCAGTTAGATAATGAGACATGCGAGCCCGAGTGTTCCTGTCAGATGTGGAGGAACCGGAAGCAGGGAGGAAGAACTACGGATGACTGAGGACCCTGCTTGCAGGGCATCCCATTACTGCTTCCATGGGTAAAAAAACGTTAATGATACTTTGCTTTAATTTCGTAGGCTGTCTTAAGTGGTTCTGCTTGTTGTGTCCGCAATTATTGATACCTTATAACGAAAAAAAGATGAATCTACAAGTAAATAGGTTTAAATTGTTTTAAAGAACACTCACTTAACACTTTCAGAAATCAACATAGAAAAAGAAGAGCAGCGGGCGCTTAATACCCAACACACATTTACTTACACTGTGTTTCTTCTAATCTTCTGGCAGAGATGAGGGTCTACAAGATCAGATGTCATTCTTGACGAAGTTACGATCGATTCTAATTCCCAAGGAGCCGGAAGCAGGGAGGAGGACCGACGGAAGGACTGATGACCTGCTTGCAGAGCAAGTCTTCACCAATTATTGAGGTAATTTAGAAAAAGTATTTAATTTTCATTTTCAATTTTTGTCTTTGTCTTGTCTTTGGGCAATGGCACATCCATTTTTTCATTGACATATCTGTTGTGAGTGCATCAATCTGATAGTTGGTCATGGGCGTCGCCAGGATTTTTTTCTAGAGGGGGGCAAAGCATATCCCCCCCCCACAACAAAATTCCTGTACTTTCCAGCATATTCTCGACTGATCATTTTTCAAGGGTGGGCGGGGACATTTGCCCCCCCCCCCCAACCAACCCATTAAATTAACAGCAATATGGCTTCGCGCCTCTTTTTTCTTTTCTTTTTGTTTTTTGTTTGTTTTTGCTTTTCCATGGGGGGGGGCAACCCCCCCAGGGTCGCCACGCCCATGTAGTTGGTTTTTGGGTCGATTGTAAAAAAAAATAGAATCAATCGAAACTTTTTTTTTTATCTTTGCAGATTCCTTTTGCCTCGTGTAATAAGAAGCAGAAAGAGTGGCAATATTCATTACGGAGTGCAGTTCTTCACTACGACAGGAATTAACACGAATTTTAAGCAACATCCCACTTTCAGTTTTACTTTAATGGCTCCTGAACATTCCCAGTACGTTTCTCTCTAAAAATTCGAGGTGTTGACACTGAGAACATGCATCTTGATCCTCACCTTCACCATTGATGTTTAAGCTGATTGACACGAAAATTTCCCCTCTTAAAGAGTTTACGTAGCGTATTAAACCCAGTCTTCCTAAACCAAATAAGAAACGCTTCTACTAAAACAATTCATGAAAAAAATATATTCTAGGAGGTTACACTGAGCATTTAACTCAGTCTTCCGAAACCAAATATGAAACATTATTACTAAAATATTTAAGGAAACAATATACATGTACTCTACGAGGTTACATGGATGATTAATATGTCTTCTGAAACCAAATTAGAAATATTATTACTAAAACAGTCCATTGAGAAAAACGATAGTCTCGGATGTTTCATGTAGGATTGATTCCAGTTTTCTCACACCAAATCAATATTTGTGATGCGATCAAGCTACATGAGTCGTTTGTCGGGAATTTTCATTTGGAGAATCAGGCCAAAATAAGACCACAATAGGACTTCATCACATCACTTCATCACATTTCTTGGTGTTGCGACTTCCATGATTTTTAAACTAAAGATGGTACACGCATGCGGTTTTCACAGCAGTAATGCTAAGATTGTGCTCTTTTCAAATCTGTAAAAAAAAATGACCAGGGTCGACAAACTACTTATTTAGGTTGATCGTATCACATTTTTATTTAAAAAAATCATCAAATGAAAATAATACCGTCGGAGATTAAACTCAGTTTCTTCAACCCTAAAAGGGCCGTGCGGAATCCGCCCCCCCCCCCACTTTTTCCTGCTATAGCCTTTAAAGAAGATTCCGCGACCCAAGCTGTCCTGGCTTTTAGCCTCGAGTCTTGTTTATCTTTTGATACCAAAAACTTAAAATTCGGACCACGGGTTGCTGCGCAGTGAAAACCTTTCCAGTGCTCTGCGCCGTGAAAACTGAATTCCCCATACGTAGCGTACACAGAGCAGAATTACCATTCGTGCATATGAATCATTAGTTAGTCATAATTCCCAAACCCTTTGACCTATAGTCATGACATTTCTTGGCTATATGTTTATGATAAGTTGCTCTATGTATGTACCGAGTTTCATAATTTTTCGTCGGTCGATGGCCGAGATCTTAGGGGGCGGATTCCTCCCCCGGCTGTGAGATGGTTAAAATAACCCGGCTATTTTAGTGTTAAAATCGAAACGCTGTCAACCCTTATCACTGTGTAAGGGGGAGGCGAAATACTCCTTGAATAATCATCAATTAAAAATCAATTCAAATTAAACGCAGACTGAAGGCACGTTTTAACGACATAATCTCAACACAAAAAGCTTATACATGTAATGAGATTGATAATTACCCGAACCAAAGCTTAAAGGCGAGGGATATTGGCGACCAGGACAAAATAAAGGTTCACAAATTGTTTGACCAAAACACTTTATACTCGCCCATAAGTATCGGATTTATCTTATTGTGACTCCCTTTTACTGTGATCATCACTAGTAATGAATTGCATCCCGAGGAGATTTATAATTAAAATTGAATACCCATTCATTCGAAAATACATATGTATGTATCCATTTTCATATTACTTATTTAAACCACACAATCAAGCTGAAATACGGGAGCAAGATTACGTTTTCCCAAAATAGGCAACATTTGTTATATCTGCTGGTTGTGAGTGCTTGCTTCATTTTCATTCCCCTTCACGTCATCATTGGCATCTTTATTTGTGTACGAAGGAAACTTCCATACAATGAGCATGGAGCCAAGACATATGATCGCAAACCCCAATGCCACGCCGTTGAAGGTGTAGCGGTACCAGACCTTGTCGTACAGAAAACATGCTCCTTGGCCATAACACGTTTGTTGCCTTCCCACGCAGGCGGTGTCGATGAGGGCGCCAAACATATAACTAGCTGGGATAGTAGCTAAGACAAGAAAAAATGTGGACAAAAATAGAATTCGAGATTGAATCGGCTTTTGAAACATGTTCACATCTAGAACCAAGTAAAATTGTTTGTCAAGGTAAATTAGGTACACAGGTGAAACCATTTGCAATTCAAACTCGGATCGCTCGCCCTCAAGGAACATCACAATTAATTGGAAGCAGGTTATTAATAAAAAAAGGCATCTTGTCGAAATTTAATTTCGGCTTTAGGAGACATTATACCATTTGAGAAAACTGTGACAATGCATCTCCCTTTTGTTCTCGACGCAAAGCATAGATGTCCATTCAAAGCGTGATGGTTTGCTCATTACCATCGCAAGGAAAATGATGAGAATTGCTCTGTCCTCGAAAACGACAATATAGGTGCAGTGATTTCACAGGATGCTTGGTCCTATTATTTCCTTACAATCAAGTAGGATATTTCATAATATTTTGACGGATTCTTTTTTTGAATGTTTGCCTTTAATGTTCCATTACGGAGAACGAAAACCGGACATCTACCTTTCTGCTGTCGGGTAAAAAGCGTGTACAGTGCGATTCTCAAAATTCAGACGAAAGCGCATGACCTTTTTTTCAGAAGCGAATGAACATTTTAGGAAATTGGCCGGGAAAATCTGTATTGTGGGTTTTTTTCCAGTATAAAAATATCCTCAAATCAAAACAACCTATGTGTTTGTACTCACCGATTAGACCGGCAAGATATAGGATTGCCAGAGCCACAGGCCTTTCTGCTGATGAAACGCATCTTTTAAAAAACCACAAAAATATTTCTTTTTTTTTATTATATAAAATATCCTCAAATCCCTCAAATCAAAACAAATTAATTAACACTGCAAGTTGCTTTCTGTTTTGGAGTTAGAAATTTATACGAAAGGGGCCTTGCCCGATGAGTTTTCAATACAAAAACATACTATACAAATAATGAATGTTTGTGAGTGCAATGGTAAAAATAATTTCATGAGGTGACAGATGAAATGTTTCATTGGAATGGGACATTTCATCTGTCACCGAATGAAATTATTCTTTCCATTGCACTCACAAACATTCATTATTTGTTTTATATAACGCCTGAATAAATCCTTGTCATTTGATTGGCTGACTTTTAATAGCCAACATATTCAGGTTAAAAACTACTTAAAAGTTCGACAAGTTCATCATATTTAATTTATGCAAACTGTTCAACAGGTTGGGAATCATCATATTCAATTGTATACAACACCTGAATAAATCCCCGTCATCTGATTGGTGAATTGTAGATCACGTGACATATTATTATTCGGTATAATGCACGGTGCGACCATGCGTTATACCCATGCGTTATACCGTTTCACTTTGCGCTTGTTCCATGACGCGGTATTTGCGTGCAAAATGCATGCTGGTGTGCGCGTTCAGCGTAGCGCGTATTGTTCCAAAGAGCCAGCGCTACAGCGTTGGGTTCAAACATTTTCGTGAAGGGGTAGTTCAACATCTTTAAAATCAAAATAAATTGTAGTTTATAATTTACCAATCAAATGACGAGAATTTATTCTGGTGTTGTATAAAACAAATAACGAATGTTTTACGTTCGTGCGATGGAAAGAATAATTTCATTCGGTGACAGATTGAATGTTCTATTCCACTCGGCTTCGCCTCGTGGAATAGAACATTCAATCTGTCACCTCATGAAATTATTCTAACCATCGCACTCACAAACATTTGTTATTTGTATAATATCGATTTAAAACAGCGCCACCACCGGCAGCAGTGACACCGTGCAATGGAAGTTCTATTCACCGTGCAATAGAACTTCCATTGCACTGTGCGCTGCGCGCCGCGCACGCGCCGTGCGTTGGTACGAATAATTCAATGACATGTGATCAACGATCTACCAATCAGATGACAGGGATTTATTCAGGTGTTGTATAGAAAGTTTTATACAACACCTGAATAAATCCCCGTCATCTGATTGGTGAATTGTAGATTACGTGACATATTATTAAGCCCGGTTCATACTTCACGCGAAAGCGAAAGCGAAGCGAAATTCGTGACGTCAACAATACGTTCGAAGCGCGTCCACCATTGTTGACGACATGAATTTCGCTTCGCACAAGCTTTCGCGTGAAGTATGAACCGGGCTTCATTCGGTATAATGCACGGTGCGACCATGCGTTATACCCATGCGTTATACCGTTTCACTTTGCGCTTGTTCCATGACGCGGTATTTGCGTGCAAAATGCATGCTGGTGTGCGCGTTCAGCGTAGCGCGTATTGTTCCAAAGAGCCAGCGCTACAGCGTTGGGTTCAAACATTTTCGTGAAGGGGTAGTTCAACATCTTTAAAATCAAAATAAATTGTAGTTTATAATTTACCAATCAAATGACGAGAATTTATTCTGGTGTTGTATAAAACAAATAACGAATGTTTTACGTTCGTGCGATGGAAAGAATAATTTCATTCGGTGACAGATTGAATGTTCTATTCCACTCGGCTTCGCCTCGTGGAATAGAACATTCAATCTGTCACCTCATGAAATTATTCTTACCATCGCACTCACAAACATTCGTTATTTGTATAATAGCCAATGGAAAAAAGTTACCTCATGACGATATTAAAACGCATGAGCTGTGCGAACTGCGCAAACAGCAGTACTGCAGTCAGCAAAACCAGGTACGGTGCATAGGAGATGCAATGACTGTCACAAGCGCCCTCAACCGCCAGAAGTGTACCATTTAGGTTTGTTGGTCCAGTGGCTAAGCATGAACAATTTCCATATTCATGATTCTGCAGGCGAATGGGCATTAGTTGAATGAGGTATACATGTACAGGTAAACCGTATTTTCCTCTTTATAATATATCGGAAAATCAAATTTGAGCTTGTTGACCAAAAACAAAGGCAGAGTCAAATGATTAGTAGCCTATTGGTTAAATCCACCTTCAGTGTCGGAAGCACAATCTACCCCCAGACTGGGAACTTAAGTTCTCAAAACGATGCAAAAGATCAGGCCAACTTAACTCACTTTTTAGCCTGCAAAATTCTCCAAAACTTTCATTGGGCAAAGAAAAGGTCCTCAGTATTTCACCAACCAAGTTTGAAGACTCAATTCAATTTTTGAAAGCGACTTTTCTTCAATAGTTGGCAGTGGCTTGCACTTGAGAGGGAAGTCAAGTGATTTCAAAATGAGGCTAAAGACTAGACTTGTCCATCATGGTCCACTCTTTTAACAGGACTGACGTCGTCATTCAGTGTCATTAGTCTGGTGCCTGACTATGGAGAAATGTGTAAAAAAAGTGACCTGGTACCCGACATCCTATATATTTCTTTTGGCACAGTCATCTGACAGTTGATTGATGCAGTACTGAAGAGTTGTTGGACTGGTTGTTTCAGATGTCAGTCTATTTTCTTGTTTTGCATGTTTTCAGTACCTTAAGTTGTGGGACTCTCATACACAGCATTAAGAGTCCCAAATTTTCGGACTAAATCTGCCCATACCTGCTCAGTGACGAGTTGGCATCCTGCGTGGCAGGCTGATATATAGGTGATCCCATGGCCATCGCATACAGGTGAGTACGCAGACAAAGAACATTCACAGTCCGAGTTGCAGGGCGCCTCTAAATCAAGCTGGCTGAAAAAGAAGAATCGTGTACTATTTATTTTCAGACATGATCACACGTACTAAATATGTCGGGTGCATACCTATATGTTCCCCAAAACCTATGTTCCCCAACCGTTACCCTAACCCTAAGGATTTTGGAGAACAACATCGGGTAGTCTCAAATCTGTCTATCATTCGTCATACATACAACACTCATCATGACCTAATAAATTATACCAAAATGACTTTGTGTCGGCTACAGTTTACACAATTGTTACTAGCATACCTTTGTCCCTTGTATGGCGTGAAGACACCGGCAACATTCTCATTTGGGCAACCAATGAACACATTCGCCGTAAGGCCAGCGACGCCGAGAGCCAGTGCGACGCACGAGAGGGAGACTAGGCCCCGGTATTGAATGTTGAATCGTTTGACGAGGGAACCAGCCAGCATGAAGCCGACGGCGTATGCAGGAGCTAGAAGACAACCTGATGAATGATGGATATAGGACAATAAGTATCACAAGGTCTCGCCGTTTAAACTTGGTAACTGTAAGTGATTTCGTAATGTTAAATGTGAGTTGCGTAGTCCTTATCTTAACCGTTCTCAAATGTGTATGTATTGTTCATATTGCCCAATGATTCCTTTCGTTGTTTGGAAGGAAAAAATATTAATGTGGATAAGTTTACTGTTGTAACAAGGTATTGCTTAAATGGTACCCAGATGCAATGTATTTCCCGTCACTTTCTAAAGTTCAACATTAATCAAATCTACAGTTACCGGAACATCGTCTTATTAGTCAACTTAGTCATTGAGAAAAGTGTAACTATTATGATTGCGTTAAATAGTTTAAGAAAACAAGAGAGAGAGAGAGAGAGGGGATAATTTAACCTGTAATACTTCTTGCACTAGATGAATAGTCCATTAATTACGTCAATTAATTACGTCATTATTCCAGGAACATTAAGCACCGTATTACATCATGATGTCATATCATGCTTTTACAATGGCGCGAATTTATTGGTAAGTAAAATGAACACCACCACACCACTAGTGCACTGTGGTGAGTAGGCCGCCTTATTCCCATGTTGTAGTTTCCCCAAATCTACCAATGTCTGATGTAACTATTGCAGCCTTACCTGTCAGGATGTCGGCAAGTCGGGTTTCCACCTCAAACTGAATTTCCAGGTACTTGGGAACGAAGGCACCATAGCCAAACACAAGAAGGGAAGCACCACCTTGGGACAGGCATGTCAGCATGCAGTCACGGTTTTTCAACACCTTCCACAACGTCGACAAACTACCTGTTTGGGGATATAATCGCGAAAATGAACCCCGCAAACACGTTTAATATTATACCATGGTACATGTATAAACAAACAGTCCCTGTAACTTTTGCCATTGATCATCAGAGAGTTACAGGCCATAATTAATCAGCGCAAACGTATTGGGTTATTGTAGAATAATATGTAAACATAATTATTTTCATTACCACTCGAAGTTTCTCCTTTGGGGAACTGTGTCCCACTCTTGTTTTCCGTGTCCCCGTCATCTCCACTGACGCTGTCGCTGCCTTCGGCGTTGGTACAGGACTTTCTCATCACCACGGGAAATCCAAAGAGGGGCAACGCTGGTAGCACATACAAGATTGCAGCAACAAGGTAGCCCAGCCACCATGCTCCCACCCACGCCCTGTCCTCGGGAGTCACGGGCACGGCTGATGAGGGGATTCTGTAGAAGTCTACCCACAGACCAAGAAATGCCGCAGTCGCGAAGATGCCTGCCACTGGTGACAGGCCACTCACAGCTCCCCATACACCTGATTAAAAAAAAATGGTGATTTGAGAGAAACAAATAAACCAGGGCGGTATTTTCCATTAATCAGTTATTATTTATACCCGTGTGTTTTTAAAATGCAAACAAATTACAAAATATAACGGAATGCCGTAGAATGTTTGGCCAACTTTTGTATTGAAATAAAAGTTCAAATATGTCAAATGACAAGGATCTATTGGCCTATGTCAGTTATATAAAACAAATATTGAGTGGCTTCAGGGGCGTAAAATCAAAAAGCGGGAGGGGGGGGGGGGTCGTACCATACGTTCGATGGGGGCGCTGTTCAAATCCGACGATTATTAACACTATATCACAGAATAATGTACTTTATTATACCCCCTAACCAAACTGGCTCGGTACGTATTTTGTGCCTGGCGGACATTATTACCAGCAACAACAAAAAATGGGTGTCGGAGCAGTGGGGGAGGGGGGGGGGTTCGCATTTTTTCCCCCAGGAAGTGGAACAATATTTTTGGGACAGAGTTGGGGGGGGGGGGGTTACCCCCAAAACCCTCCCTCTGGATCCGCGCCTGGGCTTCAATGGGAAAAATATTATCGCTCGGTAAAATCTGGACTTTTTCAGTTCACACGGCTTTGCCTCGTGAAATGGAAATGTCCAGATTTTGCCTTGCGATAATATTCCTCCCATTTCACTCTGAGCCACTCAATATTTATATACCATCACACTTTTAGATCGTAGCATACTGAAGAAAACATAAGGTAGTCCAAGTTAGTTATAATCAATGGCAGGTTTACATCTGATGAGATTAAAACACAGTTACCTGTATAAAAGGCCGTATGTTTTGGAGTTGTATTTTCTGAGATGTATGCGTACACTGTTGGGTACATGATCATGACAACTGCACCTTCAAGCAGTGTGCTTGACAGCATAATGTAGAAAGCAACCTGGTTAGGAGACACAGTCTCAGCCGGCTGGTCTGTGCAGTCTGCCCCCGACTTGTCTGCCATGCACAGCATCTGTACCTGCTGAAACGCGTCCTCTGTGTCGTTGGTAGCCTCAAAACCTGCAGGAACGTATGGATCTTGAATGAACTGTGGGATGATTTCTACAAAAGTCGCAAGACCACTCATCAGGGAACATATTCCCAGTAGGCGTGGTCGATTGGTATCCGGTTTACTGAAGAATAAGATCACGAGCACGTTGCCAATGACGCCGCCTACGGAAAAGCCTGCCATTAACAGGCCAATCTGACCGAGACTGAACTGATACCGGTGTTCAGTTGTGGTTATCGTCCCCTGGATCACCCCGACGATAAAACTATCGGCAAAGAGGAACATGCTGACAACGACAACGAAGAAAGCTGGCCGTGCGAAGCGTTGAAGACACGGCGGTCTGACGGAGCAATAGCTGCACTCCGGAGCATCTTCGTCTGCGGCAATGAGTTGCTGTTTGGGTTCTTCAATGACCATTGTTGAATACATCTGTATAGGGATAAAGGTTTACATAAATTGTAAGAAACGGTTTATAATGGTGGAAAATATAATAAAGACTCATAATACTATGCTGATTGGCTGGGTGGTGAGTGCGTCGCCAAGATTTTTTTTAGGGGGAAGGGTGGGGGCGAAGCACAAATACCCCCTCCCCCAAAAAATCCTGTACTTTTCCAGCATATTGTTCTCGATTTATCATTTTTCGAGGGTGGGCAGGGACATTTGGCCCCACACTAACAACAGTATGACTTCGCGCCTCTTTTTCTGTCTCTCATCCCCTTTTTCTTCTTCTCTAAACAGTTTTTTTCCAATAAAAAATGATGTCTCAAAACTGCCAAACTCACTGGTTCGACTGGAATCCTGCTGCTGCACAATTTTAACGTGTTTTTAGATGGGGTTATGATCGAGAATAAGCTTTATGTGGCCTCTCCGGACTCCCATATATTTGCACTAGGTTTAGTTGGGCACCATTTGCAGTCATCAGCCGACATTTGAAGCAAAAAAAAACAGGTTAAAAAAAAGCCGCGTCGCCGCACCACTTTTTGGGCAAGCTCCATACCAGAAACCGGAGACTTTTTTGTTGGCCTCAAGGACGGGTGTAATGGGGACATTCCTCCACACATGGAGCAAGTGGCCCGCATGACTGCACAGCCTTTGTGTGGTAGCGGGACTGCGCAAAAGCAGCAGCTTGAAACTACCCACTCGCCGTGTGCCACGGCATACCACAGCTGGCAACTGCATTCCAATGAGGATTAGCGGATCTAAAAGATCTAAAAGGCAGGCACGCTATGGTGGCAACACGTACAGTCCCTCCATCCATCAATCCTACAATCCTCAAACCAAGCCTGGTTATAAAACATTTTAAGTCCTGCATTCAAATGCCGCAAGTACACCTTTTTTCATGCAGGACCTCACACAAGTAATCTCACTGCATGCCGGGTAGCCGCCGGGACCTCATCATCCTTGACAACAGACTGCTAACCAATCACTCTTTCAACCTCTCCTCAAAGAAAGAGACCAACCTTTTCAAAACCCAACTCTCGAAACAGCCTCAACTGCATCATTTGCCATACCTAAATACTCAACCAACTGGATTGACACACAAGATGAGTCCATCAATTCAGCGCACTGATCATTTTTTTTTCTTTTTTTATAACAATTTTGAAATTATACGATGATTTTTTTCTGCATTAAAGCAATACAAAAGTAATTGTTGGACCTAAAGCATTTCATTTATTGTTTTGGCCCCCATTTTACTATTGTTAGACCTTAAGCATTTCATGTATTGTTTTGGCCCCAATTTTACTAGCTTCGTAACATTATTTCTGCAAAGTATCTTTGAGAAACTTGTCAAATGCAAATATGCATTAAAGTCTTATTTTTAACATTAAATTCTCGCTTTCTTAAAATTGAAATAAAAATTTGTTTTCAAATAACATTTCCCAAAGTAGCCATTTTTGCACGGCCTGCACGAAATGACGATTAAATACTTCAATTCTGCCACTTCACCCCTTTTGGTAATTCGCAATAAACTATAACAAAAACACTGCAGCGTGGCAAAAGCTTAGGCCTAGAAGTAAAAATATTTTAAGTTTTTTAGCGAAACTATACCGTAGGCCTATGTTCATTTGTATTCATATTGTTGAAAAAGCAAACTTGTCCAGTATGTTGTGTTTTAGAGGGGGTGTACCCAATGTTGTTCCCTGAAATCCTTAGGATTAGGGTGAGGGTTAGGCTTCTGTATCTGTTAGCTTCTGTACAAACGCCTGGTGTGGCCATCGCGTACAGCCTCATGGTGTATCTATGAGGATAACTGCCAGAAACACCGGGGCGAACCCCTTCTCTTACCGATAAGTGTTTGCTGGGTTCTTTTATGCAGCACACTGGACCTACAGCTTTACGTCCCATCCGAATCACGAAGCAATAATGGTTAAGAGCCTTGATCAGGGGCACAAGTGTCCGGGCCCGGGCTTGAACCCACGCCACTGTTGCCTCTGAAACACCAGAACATGAGTCCAGTGTTCTTAACCGCTAGGCCACCTCACCTAAGCCTAAGTTTAAGTTTAAGGTTAGGCTTAGGGTCAGGATTGGGGAACAGCGGTATTGGGAACATATCGGGGAATATGCACCCGTTTGAAAGAACAACTAACGTCAATCGGGACTTAAGCAAGGGAAAAACATTATTAAACTAATGAGTTGCCAAATTAATCGTCTTGGTATAAAATACATGTATTCGCGAGAGAAGTCTTCCACCTCATGAAACATTAAAAAAAAAACACATACATTTTCTAGATTGATTTAACGACTCAGTGCACCGCTGATATACAGTCGAACCCTGATAAGAGGAGCACTTCCCCCATGATACAATTAAGGACCTGCTTAAAAACAAGAACAATTCTAGGTCTCAATTAAGTCTTTGTTTTCCAATCAAGGTAATTTGTCAAGTCCCAATATTCTTGTTATAAAGGTGTTCGACTGTAATTGTTGTTTTTTTTACTCCCCTCTCGTCTAAATCGATAAATCAAACACTAAAAAGCGTCAACACAGCGTCAACACACTCCAAAGCGTCAACACAGCGTCAACACATCCAAAATGCAATAAATTTGACACAAGCAGTATGCAACCCATAGAGTGTGGACAGAAACAAGATTTTGGCTTAAAATCAATAGGTTAAACGTCTGAAAATTGCGATTTTCAGTTCAAGAAAATTGGCTCTCCGTGCCGCTCCGAGATCGGCTGCCATGTTGCCTCAGTGGCAGTGCAGACCATTCCATTATGCTAAAGGGTGATAGCGTTGTACAATAAACCTCAGTCCCTCAGTCTCTCACAGATCAGAATGCACTGGTATCCCTCTGCATCAAGGCGCCCTCTGTTGTTTATTACAAGATAATGTCATTACCTACACACCCCTACTTGAAATGGTGTAGTCCAAGCTTTGTGCGAAGTCAAGATGGCGGACAAGTAATTACGGCCTTGCAAACTAAAGGTCATTTTTTTCGTGTGAAAATACTATATTTTTAACAACAAAATGGAAACTCGATCCAATGGAATTTCTCTTTTATTCTATGCTTTACAATTATATACCTTTTTTGTCAATTCAGAATGTGTTTTGGATGTTGACGGTGTGTTGACGCTTCTGTCATGTATGGACGCTGTGTTGACGCCGTGTTGACGCTTTTTAGTGCGACCCAACTAAGTACTCCAAATACATCAAAGGTTTTAAAAGGTTTACCCTACCTTACTACTGGCGAATATGAAGGAATGTGGAATCCTTGTTGGAATCCTTGATGTAGGCCTCTGGAATTTCGACTCTAGAAATAACTGCTAGCTGCTGTAACTGTTAATTGGCAAACACCTAGCTTCTACTGAACTCCTAGTTTAAATAAATTATGCGCTTGGCTATTGTAAAGGGGTACAAAGGAAATGGAGCAACAAAAGGGTGCATCAAGGTCTTTTAAAACCTCACGTTCTAATCTCATTCAGTGGTGCGGGTTGGCGCCGAAGGACAAACTTTGCTTTCAAAAAGTATTTCCACGGATGGATGCAGCTTTTACCCTGGGGATTTTTGACTGCCTGCGGGGCTGTCCAAATAAAATTTACCTCTGGTTGAAGGCAAGTAAATCGGTCCAAAAAATTTTTCAATTGGGAATTCGTATATGGGCACTTGAGGATGTCGTTCCACGTTGTGACGTCATGTACGGAGTGCCTGGCTTATAGCCTCACTCGTTTGTTTTCAGGCCAGATATCGAACTGAGAGAATTTTTTTCTCCCAATTCTGTTGTCCCAATTGGGGGGGGGGGGGGGGGGAATTTGCGGCACTTTTTATTCTAATAAGGCCACACAAAAAAAATAGTCGTTCTCTGGTCAGACCAAAGTTCCAGAATTGATGCGGCGACGCGTTTTTGGTTTGTTTTTGGCTTTTTTTTTTAGGCATGGATTGTACATGTATACAAGGTGGGTACTATTTCACTTGCGTACTTAATATTTACTGAGCAGTGGCGTAACATGGGGAGGGGGTGTAAGGTTGTTTTTACCCCTCCCAATATTTTCTTACGAGTGCCCTTTTCTCACGAGTGCGAGTGCCCTTTTTTGACAATAGCGCAAGCGTCGTCAATTATGTGCCGCCATGAAGAGCGCCACCTATTGCCATGGTCGTTTTGAGCAGCCATTATGTCACCAAGCCCTGGCGCCGTCGCCAACTCTGAGCATCGGGGGGGGGGGGGGGGGGGAGTACCAACTAGGGGGCCCACTACCATAACAGATACAAAAATACATGTATGTCTTTTAACGGTCGGGGGGGGGGGGCAATTGCTCGCGAAGGGGGATCGGGCCCAACAGCCCCCCCCCCTCCGCCCCACCACAATTTTATTACTAAAAACAATTCATGAATACCATTCTATTCTATAGGAGGTTACACAGAGTATATATAGAGTATTAAACTCATCTTCCGAAACCGATAATAAGAAATATTATTACTAAAAATAATTCATGTGAAACTTACATTTTATAGGAGATTATGTAACGTATTACACCCAGTCTTCCTTAAACCAAATATATAATTATTCCTAAAAACAATTCATGAAAGAAATATATTGTAGGAGGTTCATTCAACTCAGTCTTCCTAATCCAAATAAGTAATATTATTACTTAAACAATTCGTGGAAAAAAATATATTCTTAGTGGTTACATAATTGAGTTTAGGCTCCTTGAACCAAATACAAAATATTATTACCAAAACACTTCACGAACAAATATATTCTCGGAGTTATGTACATGGAGTATTGACCCTAAAAGGGCCGGGCGGAATCCGCCGACCCCTCCCCCAATTTTTTTCGCGACAGCCTTGAATTTTTTTCCCGACCCGAGCTGTTATGACTTTTTAGCCTCGAGCCTTGCGCATCTTTTGATACCAAAAAACATAAAAATCGGACCACGGAGTGTAGACAGAGCAGAATTGCCATTTGTACATATGCATAATTAATTAACCATAATTCCAAAACCCTTTAACCTATAGTCATGAAATTTCTTGGGTATGTTTATGATAAGTTTATACACGTACCAAGTTTAACAATTTTTCGTCACTCGATGGCTGAGATCTTAGGGGGCGGAAATCCGCCCCCGGCTGAGAGATCGTCAAACTAACCCGGCCCTTTTAGTGTTAAACTCAGTCTTCCTACACCAAATAAGAAAAATTATTACTATAAAACAATTCATGCAAAAATCATAATCTAAGAGGTTACATAGAGTATTAAATGTACATTTCCTAATGAAATAAGAAATATTATTACTAAAACAATTAGGTTACAACTAAAATTTAAGTCAATCTTCTAATTTTCCTAATTACTAAAAATAATTCGTGAAAAAAATACATTCTTGAAGGTTTCATAGCGTATTAAACGCAGTTCCTTATACAAATAAGAAATATTATTACTAAAAACAATTCATGGAAATCCTTATATTTAAAGAGGTTACGTAGCGCATTAAACCCAGTCTTCCTAAACCAAATAAGAAACGCTACTACTGAAACAATTCAAGAAAAAAATATATATTCTAGGAGGTTACACTGAGCATTTAACTCAGTCTTCCGAAACAAATAAGAAACATTATTACTAAAATATTTAAGGAAACAATATACATGTACTCTACGAGGTTACATGGATGATTAATCTGTCTTCTGAAACCAAATAAGAAATATTATTACTAAAACATTCCATTGAAAAAAACGATAGTCTCGGATGTTTCATGTAGGATTAATTTCAGTTTTCTCACACCAAATCAATATTTGTGATGCGATCAAGCTACATGAGTCGTTTGTCGGGAATTTTCATTTGGAGATTCAGGCCAAAATAAGACCAAATTAGGACTTCATCACATCACTTCATAACATTTCTTGGTGTTCCGACTTCCATGATTTTTAAACTACAGATGGTACCCGCATGCGGTTTTCACAGCAGTAATGCTAAGATTGTGCTCTTTTCAAATCTGTAAAAAAAATTGACCAGGGTCAACAAACTACTTATTTATCTTGATCGCATCACATTTCTATTAAATAAATCATCAAATGAGAATAATACTCTCGGAGATTAAACTCAGTCTCCTCAACCCTAAAAGGGCCGGGCAGAATCCGTAATGAATTGCATCCCGAGGAGATTTATAATTAAAATTCGAAAATACATATGTATGTATCCATTTTCATATCACTTATTTAAACCACACAATCAAGCTGAAATACGGGAGCAAGATTACGTTTTCCCAAAATAGGCAACATTTGTTATATCTGCTGGTTGTGAGTGCTTGCTTCATTTTCACTCCCCTTCATGTCATCATTGGCATCTTTATCTGTGTACGAAGGAAACTTCCATACAATGAGCATGGAGCCAAGACATATGATCGCAACCCCCAATGCCGCACCGTTGAAGGTGTAGCGGTACCAGACCTTGTCGTACAGAAAACATGCTCCTTGGCCATAACACGTTTGTTGCCATCCCACGCAGGCGGTGTCGATGAGGGCGCCAAACATATAACTAGCCGGGATAATAGCTAGGACAAAAAAACATGTGGAAAAAATAAAATTGGGGATTGAATCGGCTTTTGAAACATTTTCACATCCAGAACCGAGTAAAATTGTTTGTCAAGGTAAATTAGGTACACAGATGAAACCATTTGCAAAAAAAATGGGGTTTTTTTTGCCGATTCAAACTCGGATCGCTCGCCCTCAAGGAACATCACAATTAATTGGAAGCAGGTTATTAAAAAAAGGTATCTTGTCGAAATTTAATTTCGGCTTTAGGAGACATTATACCATTTGAGAAAACTGTGACAATGCATCTCCCTTTTGTTCTCGACGCAAAGCATAGATGTCCATTCAAAGCGTGATGGTTTGCTCATTACCATCGCGAGGAAAATGATGAGAATTCTTCTCGAAAATGACAATATAGGTGCAGTGATTTCACAGGATGCTTGGTCCTATTATTTCCTTACAGTCAAGTAGGGTATTTCATAATATTTTGACAGATTCATTTTTTGAATGTTTGCCTTTAATGTTCCATTACGGAGGACGAAAACCGGACATCTACTTTTCTGCTGTCGGGTAAAAAGCGTGTTCAGAGCGATTCTCAAAATTCAGACGAAAGCGCATGACCTTTTTTCAGAAGCGAATGAACATTTTAGGAAATTGGCAGGGAAAACCTATTGCGGGTTTTTTTTCAGTATAAAAATATCCTCAAATCAAAACAACCTATGTGTTCGTACTCACCGAGTAGAGCGGCAAGATATAGGATTGCCAGAGCCACAGGCCTTTCTGCTGATGAAACGCATCTTTAAAAAAACAAAAAATATATTTCATATTTTTAAATAAAAGATATCCTCAAAATCCCTCAAATCAAAACAAATTAATTAACACTGCAAGTCGCTTTCTGTTTTGGAGCTAGAAATTTATACGAAAGGGGCCTTGCCCGATGAGTTTTCAATACAAAAAAATACTATACAAATAATGAATGTTTGTGAGTGCAATGGTTAAAATAATTTCATGAGGTGACAGATGAAATGTTCCCATTCCACGAGGCGAAGCCGAGTGGAATGGGACATTTTATCTTTCACCGAATGAAATTATTCTTTCCAATGCACGAACGTGAAACATTCATTCTTTGTTTTATATAACGCCCGTCCTTGTCATTTGATTGGTTGACTTTTAATAGCCAATATATTCAGGTTAAAAACTGTTTAAAAGTTCGACAAGTTCATCATATTTTATTTATGCAAACTGTTCAACAGGTTGGGAATCATCATATTCAATTTTATCTCGATTTAAAACAGCGCCACCACCGGCAGCAGTGACACCGTGCAATGGAAGTTCTATTCACCGTGCTATAGAACTTCCATTGCACTGTGCGCCGCGCGCGCGCCGTGCGTTGGTACGAATAATTCAATGACATGTGATCAACGATCCACCAATCAGATGACGGGGATTTATTCAGGTGTTGTATAAAAAGTTTTATACAACACCTGAATAAATCCCCGTCATCTGATTGGTGAATTGTAGATCACGTGACATATTATTATTCGGTATAATGCACGGTGCGACCATGCGTTATACCCATGCGTTATACCGTTTCACTTTGCGCTTGTTCCATGACGCGGTTATTGCGTGCAAAATGCATGCTGGTGTGCGCGTTCAGCGTAGCGCGTATTGTTCCAAAGAGCCAGCGCTACAGCGTTGGGTTCAAACATTTTCGCGAAGGGGTAGTTCAACATCTTTGAAATCAAAACAAATTGTAGTTTATAATTTACCAATCAAATGACGAGAATTTATTCAGGTGTTGTATAAAACAAATAACGAATGTTTTACGTTCGTGCGATGGAAAGAATAATTTCATTCGGTGACAGATTGCATGTTCTATTCCACTCGGCTTCGCCTCGTGGAATAGAACATTCAATCTGTCACCTCATGAAATTATTCTTACCATCGCACTCACAAACATTCGTTATTTGTATAATAGCCAATGGAAAACAAGTTACCTCATGACGATATTAAAACGCATGAGCTGTGCGAACTGCGCAAACAGCAGTACTGCAGTCAGCAAAACCAGGTACGGTGCATAGGAGATGCAATGACTGTCACAAGCGCCCTCAACCGCCAGAAGGGTACCATTTAGGTTGGTTGATCCAGTGGCTAAGCATGAACAATCTCCATATTCCTGATTCTGCAGGCGAATGGGCATTAGTTGAATGAGGTATACATGTACAGGTAAACCGTATTTTCCTCTTTATAATATATCGGAAAATCTAATTTGAGCTTGTTGACCAAAAACAATGGCAGAGTCAAATGATTAGTAGCGTATTGGTCAACTTCCCCATCAGTGTCGGAAGCACAATCTACCCCCAGACTGGGAACTTAAGTTGTCAAGACGATGCAAAAGATCAGGCCAACTTAACTCACTTTTTAGCATGCAAATTTCTCCAAAACTTTCATTGGGCAAAGAAAAGGTCCTCAGTATTTCACCAACCAAGTTTGAAGACTCAATTCAATTTTTGAAAGCGACTTTTCTTCAATAGTTGGCAGTGGCTTGCACATGAGAGGGAAGTCAAGTGATTTCAAAATGAGGCTAAAGACTAGACTTGTACATGTCCATCATGGTCCAACTTTTTTTACAGGACTGACGTCGTCATTCAGTGTCATTATTCTGGTGCCTGACTATGGAGAAATGTGTAGAAATAGTGACCTGGTACCCGACATCCTATATATTTCTTTTAGCACAGTCAGCTGACAGTTGATTGATGCTGGACTGAAGAGTTGTTGGACTGGTTGTTTCAGAGGTCAAGTCTATTTTCTTGTTTTGCATGTTTTCAGTACCTTAAGTTGTGGGACTCTCATACACAGCATTAAGAGTCCCAAATTTTCGGACTAAATCTGCCCATACCTGCTCAGTGACGAGTTGGCATCCTGCGTGGCAGGCTGATATATAGGTGATCCCATGGCCATCGCATACAGGTGAGTACGCAGACAAAGAACATTCACAGTCCGAGTTGCAGGGCGCCTCTAAATCAAGCTGGCTGAAAAACGAGAATCGTGTGCTATTTATTTTCAGACATGATCACACGTACTAAATCTGTTGGGTGCATACCTATATGTTCCCCAAAACCTATGTTCCCCAACCGTTACCCTAACCCTAAGGATTTTGGAGAACAACATCGGGTAGACTCAAATCTGTCTATCATTCGACATACATACAACACTCATCATGACTTCCAAAATGACTTTGTGTCGGCTACAGTTTACACAATTGTTACTAGCATACCTTTGTCCCTTGTATGGCGTGAAGACACCGGCAACATTCTCATTTGAGCAACCAATGAACAAATTCGCCGTGAGGCCAGCGACGCCGAGAGCCAGTGCGACGCACGAGAGGGAGACTAGGCCCCGGTATTGAATGTTGAATCGTTTGACGAGGGAACCAGCCAGCATGAAGCCGACGGCGTATGCAGGAGCTAGAAGACAACCTGATGAATGATGGATATAGGACAATAAGTATCACAAGGTCTCGCCGTTTAAACTTGGTAACTGTAAGTGATTTCGTAATGTTAAATGTGAGTTGCGTAGTCCTTATCTTAGCCGTTCTCAAATGTGTATTTATTGTTCATATTGCCCAATGATTCCTTTCGTTGTTTGAAAGGAAAAAATGTTAGTGTTGATAAATTCACTGTTGTAACAAGGTATTGCTTAAATGGTACCCAGATGCAATGTATTTCCCGTCACTTTCTAAAGTTCAACATTAATCAAATCTACAGTTACCGGAACATCGTCTTATTAGTCAACTTAGTCATTGAGAAAAGTGTACCTATTCTGAATATGTATGATTGCGTTAAATTGTTTGAAGAAAACAAGAGAGAGAGAGACAGAGGGGGGGGGGGGGGATAATTTAACCTGTAATACTTCTTGCACTAGATGAATAGTCAATTAATTACGTCATTGTGATGTCATATCATGCTTTTACAATGGCGCGAATTTATTGGTAAGTAAAATGAACACCACCACACCACTAGTGCACTGTGGTGAGTAGGCCGCCTTAACCCATGTTGTAGCTTCCCCAAATCTACCAATGTCTGATGTAACTATTGCAGCCTTACCTGTCAGGATGTCGGCAAGTTGGGTTTCCACCTCAAACTGAATTTCCAGGTACTTGGGAACAAAGATACCATAGCCATACACAATGAGGAAAGCACCACCTTGGGACAGGCATGTCAGCATGCAGTCACGGTTTTTCAACACCTTCCACAACGTCGACAAACTACCTGTTTGGGGATATAATCGCGAAAATGAACCCCTCAAACACGTTTAATATTATACCATGGTATAAACAAACAGTCCCTGTAACTTTTGCCATTGATCATCAGAGAGTAACAGGCCATAATTAATCAGCGCAAACGTATTGGGTTACTGTAGAATAATATGTAAACATAATTATTTTCATTACCACTCGAAGTTTCTCCTTTGGGGAACTGTGTCCCACTCTTGTTTTCCGTGTCCCCGTCATCCCCACCGACGCTGTCGCTGCATTCGGCGTTGGTACAGGACTTTCTCATCACCACAGGAAATCCAAAGAGGGGCAACGCTGGTAGCATATACAAGACTGCAACAACAAGGTAGCCCAGCCACCATGCTCCCACCCACGCCCTGTCCTCGGGAGTCACGGGCACGGCTGATGAGGGGATTCTGTAGAAGTCTACCCACAGACCAAGAAATGCCGCAGTCGCGAAGATGCCTGCCACTGGTGACAGGCCAACCGCAGCTCCCCAGATACCTGATTTAAAAAAATGGTGATTGGAGAGAAACTAATAATCTAGGGCGATATTTTCCATTAATCAGTTATTATTTATACTGTGTGTATAAAAAATTCAAACAAATTACAAAATATAACGGAATGCCGTAGAATGTTTGGCCAACTTTTGTATTGAAATAAAAGTTCAAATATGTCAAATGACAAGGATCTATTGGCCTATGTCAGTTATATAAAACAAATATTGAGTGGCTTCAGGGGCGTAAAATCAAAAAGCGGGGGGGGGGGGGGGGGGTCGTACTATACTATCGATGGTGGTGCTGTTCAAATCCGACGATTATTAACACTATATCACAGAATAATGTACGTATACCCCCTAAACCAAGCTGGCTCGGTACGTATTTTGTGCCAGGCGGACATTATTACTAGCAACCCAAAAAATGGGTGTCGGAGCAGGGGGGGGGGGATCGCATTTTTTCCCAGAAATTTTTATGGAAAAATATTTTTGGGACAGAGCGGGGGGGGGGGGGGAAAACACCCCAAAACCCTCCCTCAGGATCCGCGCCTGGGCTTCAATGGGAGAAATATTATCGCTCGGTAAAATCTGGACTTTTTCAGTTCACTCGGCTTTGCCTCGTGAAATGGAAATGTCCAGATTTTACCTTGCGATAATGTTCCTCCCATTTCACTCTGAACCACTCAATATTTATATACCATCACACTTATCGTAGCATACTGAAGAAAACATAAGGGAGTTCAATTTAGTTAAAATCAATGGCAGGTTTACATCTGATGTGATTAAAACACAGTTACCTGTATAAAAGGCCGTATTTTTTGGAGTTGTATTGTCCGAGATGTATGCGTGCACTGTTGGGTACATGATAATGATACTTGCACCTTGAAGCACCGTGCTTAACAGCAGAATGTAGAAAGCAACCTGATTAGGAGACACAGTCTCAGCCGGCTGATCTGTGCAGTCTGCCCCCGACTTGTCTGCCATGCACAGCATGTCTACCTGCTGAAACGCGCCCTCTGTGTCGTTGGTAGCCTCAAAACCTGCAGGAACGTATGGATCTTGAATGAACTGTGGGATGGTTCCTACAACAGCCGCAAGACCACTCATCAGGGAACATATTCCCAGTAGGCGTGGTCGATTGGTATCCGGCTTACTGAAGAATAAGATCACGAGCACGTTGCCAATGACGCCGCCTACGGAAAAGCCTGATAATAACAGGCCAATCTGACCGAGATTGAACTGATACCGGCGTTCATTTGTGGTTATCGACCCCTGGATCACCCCGACGAAAAAACCATCGGCAAAGAAGAACATGCTGACAACGACAACAAAGATAGCCGGCCGTGCGAAGCGTTGAAGACACGGCGGTCTGACGGAGCAATAGCTGCACTCCGGAGCATCTTCGTCTGCGGCAGCGAGTTTCTGTTTGGGTTCTTCAATGACCATTGTTGACAACATCTGTATAGGGATAAAGGTTTACATAAATTGTAAGAAACGGTTTATAATGGTGAAAATATAATAAAGACTCATAATACTATGCTGATTGGCTGGGTGGTGAGTGCGTCGCCAAGATCTTTTTTTGAGGGGGAAGGGTGGGGGCGAAGCACAATACCCCCCTCCCAAAAAAATCCTGTACTTTTCCAGCATATTATTCTCGATTTATCATTTTTCGAGGGTGGGCAATGACATTCGGCCCCATACAATTAACAACAATACGACTTCGCGCCTCTTTTTCTGTCTGACATCCCCTTTTCTTGTTCTCTATTTTTTTTGGGGGGGGGGAGAGGATCCCCAGCCCCCCCCCCCCCCCTTCACGACACTCATATGCGTTTGGTTATCGACACACCGCCAGCCCGGCCGTATCCGCTGAAGTCAAATACATGTACCCAAGACACGTGGCGACTGAGGGTCGGTTGTAGGCCTTCATGAGTTACGCAAGCACTTTGGACAGTGCAGTGGCACGCCGAGCAAGGGCGTCACTTCTCACAAGAAGGAGGGGGGGGGGGGGGGGGGAGAGACATACCTTGATGCGAGCGTGCACCAATGCGAGCGTGAAGCGCCAAGCCTTAATGGTTGTCGTTCGGGGCCGGCTTAAGGGCCCCGACAAATTCGATCTGATTCAATTTCTGACTACTTTAACCAATTTTGCTTAGAAAAAGATTATCACTTAAACATCATTTTTGAGTTTGGAATCCTGAATCAGCTATTCTGAGCTATACATACGCTCCAATTTTTAGTCAGGGACGAAAAAACGTGGAAGAAAAACGATATGAACAGTGGAAACACCAACGGTTGCAGGACATTTTAAAATGGCGACCATCTTTCAAAAAATAAAAATAAAGAATAAAAAGCCCCTCTTCCTCCTTTTTTTTCAAGAACCCGGACGACAAACACGTTTTGGTTTTTTGTATTCGGCCTTATACAACTTTAAAGGTAATTACAACACACAGGTAGCAGGAGATGTATTCTAAGTAGTTTTGGGACTTGAGTCTGAAGATGGAATTGAATCTTAATGAGCAGTATCGACTGTTAAAGTCAAATATCTTAAACAGTTGTTTACTTTGAGATCAAACAATTCGTATGGTTCTCCATACAATACAAATAATGATCCGATATGGAAAAATTCATAATTGACAGAGGTCATGGCTTTTGTATATATTGATAGATATTTATTCGACTACTACTAGTATTTACATTGGGCAATTTTTTTTTCAAAACCCAATTTTAAATGCAGGTGTTTATGCTATGAAAAGAATTTTCGTACCCAGGGCATTTCATCTCTGACCTCTGGTGTGCTTCAAGAGGTCAATGAACTTAATACCCAAGGTATTTAGTGATATCATGGGGTTAGAAATACCTCAATGGTGAAATTAACCATGGAGCTGTGTATTAACTATGTAAACCTTACTTTTTCACGACCCACATCTAAACTTCTTGTTGCCATGATATGAATTTTCATATTGTTAGGGAGGTTTCGCAAGCGAACGGATACGCTTACACTTACGTTTAGCTATCCGTATCCGTTTTTTACTTACGTGTAGCGAGCGAGATATGCGTGTCGTCTGCACGTATGACGTCATACGCCACTCACTATCCGCTAAACGTGCAGACGACACGCATATCTCGCTCGCTACACGAAAGTAAAAAACGGATACGGATAGCTAAGCGTAAGTGTAAGCGTATCCGTTTGCTTGCGAAACCTCCCTATTATATGGACAGTTCATGTCTGACCTCTGGTGATCGACCTTTGAGAGGTCAGTGAACTTTGTATACCAACTTTTACTTCTTGTCATGAATTTAGACGCCAAAGACAATTTTCTCACAACCTCTGATCTCCATCCCCCTTTTTTAATGCCTTGTTTTTTTTAAAGCAGGTGCAAAAGAATATTTATAATAGGCACTTCGGACAAACGTCGCACTCTTACGGTGACCAGTGGGATTCGTAAAGAATTAAAACGTGGTTTACCCAAGTCGATCTGGATACTTAACTGGGTGTAATAGTAAATACTGCTATATTCCATTGAAAAATATGTTACAATGTGCTCAATATTGTAAAAAATATTTGACCTTAACCGCCCTGCACTGCTGCCCATTAAGATTCAATTCCATCTTCAGCCCAATCCCCAAAGCTGTTACTGTTTTATGACTAGTCATCTCTTGCTAGTCCTGTGTGTTTCAATGTAATTACTGGTATCTAAATAAAAAAACACCACTGGACATCTGTGGTACATGTGAACTTTTAATTCAACCTCTCAAAATATGTTTAGATGCCATGGTTAAGTCGGCACTCTCATGCGCACTGTCATGGACATTAAACATGATCATGGAAAAGTTAATATTAGGTCTCCCTCTTTTGGAAAATGGACATTTGGCGACGAAGGTGTGCTCTATTTTCATAAAATTGATTTCAAAGCAACTGAAATACATCAGTAAACATGTCAGAGAAACTTGGCACGATTAAAAACAAACACCATGTGACGATATGGACAAAAATGCACATGGAGGGGGTGGCAGCCACGCCCCTCCACTCTTTTCTTAAGTTAATTTGGCTAACCTAAAATCGTTCTTAAGAATGATGTAATTTTCTAAAACTACCAAGGCATCAATAAAATGCATGGGAAGTTTCAATTCGGTCTGTTCTCTCAATGCACACTTAATTTCATGCACATGTGCATGATACGTGTATATTATGGGAAAAGTTAACTAAGGCCTACCTGTTCTGGAAAATGAACAGTTGTTGACGAAGGTATGCCCTAATTTCATACAACCGGTGTCAAAAAAACTGCAAGACATTAGCACAACTGTCAGAGAAATTCCGCATGATTAAAAAATTGCATTGCGACGATAAAAAAGAAAATGTACACAGAGGGGGTGGCGGCCACGCCCCCTTTCGCGCTTTTGCCCCACTCTTAACTTAATTAGTCTGACCTGAAATCACTCTTACGTTACACTTTCATTTTCTACAAGTGCTAAGGCATCAATATAAACTAGATTCATTTTCTTCTTAATCATCACGTTGCAACCGTATCAGCGAAAAAGAAAAGAAGGGGGTGACGGCCGCGCCCCTCCTCCATCCACTTTGGGTGTGTCTGGCGGGCCTTATGCAGCAGACGATTTGTCTGGCAATGTATATTTTATACCTAGTAGGTAGAGTTGTTCATTTAAACTTGGTTTTATGTGGAACATCCAATGTTTGATCCAGCCCCTTATTTTCCCCTTCTTTTGGGCCCCAGCGGCCACATGCAGCAGGGGTCCCCGGCAGACATCCATATCTGAATATGTTTAGGTTACACAATTCTCTGCTCGGATATTGGTACCTTGCTCGTTTGACCAAAATGCTCTGGGCTGCAGTACTATATTAATCAACCTAATTCATTTTGGGTCGGCCTTGATGCTATTGGTAATATAGCTGCCCGGGTTTTCAATGTAAAACCAGAGTTCCCAGGGGCACATTCTTTGTATTAATTCAAGTTAAGCGTCACGGTGACTGAACGAAAAACAGCCTTTCAACGCGACATGCAACGCTCCTACGGATAATAGCGTACGTGCTGGGGGAGGATGCAGTCTGGCAAACACGCTCTTTTCACGCTCCGCCATAATGCAGAGTCTCGATCTGGCAACTTTACACAATGAAAATAGTTCAGTGATCGAAACCCCGACACCAGGTCGAGGCCAGGTCGAGGCCAGGTCGAGGCCAGGTCGAGGCCAGGTCGAGGCCAGGTCGAGGCCAGGTCGAGGCCAGGTCGAGGCCAGGTCGAGGCCAGGTCGAGGCCAGGTCGAGGCCAGGTCGAGGCCAGGTCGAGGCCAGGTCGAGGCCAGGTCGAGGCCAGGTCGAGGCCAGGTCGAGGCCAGGTCGAGGCCAGGTCGAGGCCAGGTCGAGGCCAGGTCGAGGCCAGGTCGAGGCCAGGTCGAGGCCAGGTCGAGGCCAGGTCGAGGCCAGGTCGAGGCCAGGTCGAGGCCAGGTCGAGGCCAGGTCGAGGCCAGGTCGAGGCCAGGTCGAGGCCAGGTCGAGGCCAGGTCGAGGCCAGGTCGAGGCCAGGTCGAGGCCAGGTCGAGGCCAGGTCGAGGCCAGGTCGAGGCCAGGTCGAGGCCAGGTCGAGGCCAGGTCGAGGCCAGGTCGAGGCCAGGTCGAGGCCAGGTCGAGGCCAGGTCGAGGCCAGGTCGAGGCCAGGTCGAGGCCAGGTCGAGGCCAGGTCGAGGCCAGGTCGAGGCCAGGTCGAGGCCAGGTCGAGGCCAGGTCGAGGCCAGGTCGAGGCCAGGTCGAGGCCAGGTCGAGGCCAGGTCGAGGCCAGGTCGAGGCCAGGTCGAGGCCAGGTCGAAGCTGTACATTCCTACACTAGCTGAATTGCCTGGGTTAATTTTACCCAAGAAAGGGTGAAAACTGGAACTGTACCCAAACTTGGGTTGTTCTATAACCAATTGTTTAGAATTTCTGTTAAATTCAACCAAAAATTTGGTTGAATTTAACAGAAATTCTAACCCAAACATAAATTGGTTATAGAACAACCCAAGTTTGGGTAGTTCTAAGTTTCACCCTTTCTTGGGTAAAATTAACCCAGGCATTTTTTCAGTGTAAGCGTGAAAAGAGCGATATTGTTGCTTAAGGGCCAAACATTGATCCACAATTCCTTCCGTCTCGTACAGGCCAATTACTGCAGTATACAGGAGACTAGTCTGGAAAGTTATGAAAATCAAATGTACCATGGAAATCAGGTACAATCCCCACAGGAAAGTGTTTCGTTGGCTTGTAAAATTTGATCATTTTGACGCCTACCAGTTAACTCTATTCTCTCTCTGTGCAACGATTAATGTTGTCTTTGTACCGAAAAAAAAACCCTCCAATTTTTGCCCGTTAACCCCTTAAGGACGGGGTGTAAGGGGACATTCCTCCACACATAGAGCACACACTCTCAAATTTGTATCCTTGTGGAGACATTTCTTTGTTCTCGTGTAGTAAA